ACAATCATACATTTCAAAAATTTAGGCATTTTGATGCAGTAACCTGAATGTAACATGCACGACATAATGCATTTTTATGCCACACTGCAATAATACACAAAATTCTTTAACTTAGCCAAGGCAGTCACAAGTTACAGCCACATCACTTTTGGCAAAAAACTTATTCTCTCAGAATATTTATTGATCATACATATATGTGAGTGCATGTATGCAATGTAAGATGCAGTGTTGATTTTTAAACATTTAAAGGAATTCCAATTATTTTGTAATCAAGAAAATCTTGCAATAAACCAATTAGTTTTGAAGTGAGGACAGTTTTGTATATAATAGCAAAGTGTATTTCCTTAGAGAGAAAAATTGTTTACAAATATACTTAATTGCATTTTTGCTCTTTTCTTGTCTCTCGGAGATGAAATTGGACATGACTATTAACTTTATTCTATTATCTTTAGATGAAACATTGTTAAGCATTAATTTCTGATGAGTATTGCATTCATCTAAACTTTTACTTGCATATTTTATTGCCTCACTTTTACTTGCATGTTTTATTGCCTCACTTTTACTTGCATGTTTTATTGCCTCACTTTTACTTGCATGTTTTATTGCCTCACTTTTACTTGCATATTTTATTGCCTCACTTTTACTTGCATATTTTATTGCCTCACTTTTACTTGCATATTTTATTGCCTCACTTTTACTTGCATATTTTATTGCCTCACTTTTACTTGCATATTTTATTGCCTCACTTTTACTTGCATATTTTATTGCCTCACTTTTACTTGCATATTTTATTGCCTCATTTACTAAGACTATCAGTCTGTGCCAGTGAGTAGAAAGAAAGCATCATTTTGGAAATAAAAAATAAGCTCCAAGTGAGACTTGAATTCAAACCCCTGTGCATGACAGCTGTTGAACCGATTGAATTCCCAAATGTTTTGTACTTAGCAGAAGATTAAATCTAACCCTCATTTTCTTTTGTTTTCCAATCTTAAGAATTAAAAGGAAAGAAATACAAGCCAAATATCAATAACTTGCTGTTTTTTTAAAAGTATAAACTTTGACATAAGGATAAGGAATTGTCATAATCATGGTGAATTTTGAGAGAGAAATATTTTAGCTTGTTACTGAAATACAATGAATAATAAAAAATTAAAATGAAAATTGTTGATAAAATAAAATGGAGACTATATTGGCATAAAAAACTAAAATGCAATAAAAAAATAGATAAAAATCTATTCAAATTCAGAACTTAGAACTTATATTAATGCTTCTCTGAACAGAACTGGAATTATTTTTTTTAAAACTTAAATTAAGAAAAAAAAAGAAAAACAAATACAGAAAAGTAGGCATTTTGGTGAAAGTCATTGTTTTAAAAAATAGTAAAAAGAAGGTTAATAAAAAAAGAAAAAAAAAAGGTCTTTCTCATTATCAATTATACAAATATTGTTTATGACTTTTTTTTAGTGGAGGTTGGTGATAGTATTTTCTTCACATTCATTCATCTCATTACTTGTGAGTTGCATGAGATAGTAAATAATATGTCAACAAAGCAATCTTCTACATAAGATTCTGTTGATAAAAACATTAATCCAAAGAAATAATTTCAAAGGATGAAATACATAACAGGATTTTTTCCATTTTATCATTTAATTTTCTACTATTAGTCTTGTATATATTATATATCACAGGAGAGTAAAACAAATGGAAGTTTTATGTCACCAGATAAGAAATAATTTATCCCATATTTGACAAACTGTAAGTATATTGCCTGATTTTAAATTAAAAAAAAAATCAGTGAACTATTTGTATGAATAAAGTATTAATTTGCTTTTAACTACATTCAACATTTGAGTGATAAAAATAGAACTGAAATGATATATAAATGTTTTTTCTTAAAGTAGAAATTTCAAGAGAAATTTTAAAGCAGTTAAAGGATGCACATTATTGAATTCTGGAAATATCAAAAATGAAAAAAAATGAGCAAACAATTTCAGTGTTATTGTAGAGCATGTGACTGTAACTCGACTGGCATGCAAGATGCAATTTAAAGAGGACGCAAGAAACTGTTCAGTCTTCTGTCAAAAAGAAAGCATTAGCAGTATATTTTATATAGACTATTAAGCTTTAAAGATCATAAGAAATATATTTACGCTAGATAAATTTTAATTCATTATAAATAATGCTGAAAATTCATGCAATTTGCAAGAATATTGATGCAACTCCCCACCCACAAGAAAAAAAAAATCATGATCTTCATTGAACCATTTTTATTGTTTATATATGTATCAATAGTAATAAATTTATAATCATAGTAAAATTCCTTACGTTGACATTTGAGAAAAGAGAATTATTTTTAAGTCAATTATCTGACCAGAAAACTACAAAAAATATCCAATATGACTCAAAATGTAAACATATGATTAACATTAAATATTTTAAAAATAAATGCAACCAAAATTAGTAATTTTTATATATATATATTTTCTTTTTTTTTTTTTTTTTACAAATCAAGTGCATCCTTTTCCACTGTATATTCAGATAAGAAAAGTTTCAGAAATTTAGAGAACTGTCCATTCACATTAAGTCAATTTTCTATAAACAGATTTGTTCATGATAGAAAAGATGTAACATCTAGCCATAATAGAAAATTATTTCCTAACATATTTAGAGAAAAATCAAGTGAACTTTGTTCACAATAAATTCTCAAATAGGAGAGTTTTTAGAATTTTTTTTTACTCTTTTTGAGGGGCAATAAGTGTTTAACAAACAAGTCATCTGTCTTCTTTAAAGATCTTAAATGGCCAGGAAAAGATGACAAATGCATAGAATGATTAAAAAAACCATAGCTAAGCAACAAATTTGAAAAAAAAAGAAAAGAGCATTTCTTTAAGTTTCCTTTTCAACAAAGCAACAAAAAGACACAAAGTAAAAACAATATAAAATGATCTTTTCAACAAAACTTCAGGCCACACAGATCTGTTACCAAAAACAAATCTCTCTGTATATGATGTCCCCAAAATTGTCTCTCTCAATCACACTCACACATAGTGCACAAGAAATACAAGAGCAAGACATTATTACCATTCAAAGAATTTGTTAAGAAAAAAAAATTAAAAAAAATTGCTGTTTGATGAATTTAATATAAAACCTTGTTTTAGACGAAGTCACTGACTTAGTCGTCAGTCACAAGTAGCTGCACACAATATTGACACGAAGCCAAAAAAATGTTGAAGAGCAAAAAATGATTTTATTAAAACTGTTTTGGGTGAAAAGTTTCATGATTAAAAAAAAGTCACATTGTTTTAATGTTGTAATATTTTGTTGAATTTTAAGAGAAAAGTTAGCAATCAACGAAGATGCTGAAGACAAAAAGTGTCATTGGGTTAGTTTAATTTTATTCCCTTTTGGGAGCTTTTTCATATAAACATTACAGAAATATGAAGGCAACACTGATGTGGACAAGATATAACCAATAATCGACATTAGTCAGTCATCACAAATGAAAGACAGAGACTGAACCAATTAAAAAAAAAAAAAATTTTCTCTTGGAATAAAATGCACAGAAAAACATATTTGGGAATTATTTAGTGCCAAAACTTGTATGCTTGATTAAGATGGATCTCAGCAGTCATTCAAGTTCAGAAAAAACAAAATATTTTAATTAAAAATTATTAATATTTAACATAGAATGACATCTCAAAATATTTTCAATCATTTTTGTTTTTACAGTTTCAAGAAAATTACTAAAGTAATTCTGATTCTTAAGCATGAAAGGCAAACAGACGAGTTTACTTTGGAGAAACAAAACTAATTTGATAAAGAGCAGTGAGACTTGACGTTAAAATACAGACCAGTGATTTTTTTTTCCGAGCATAGCTTAGATGTGGCACAAGGCTGAAAGTATGGTGCATCCGCTGGGGATCAAACTCACTACTCAGTTGTAATTGTTCTAGCGAGACAAGCTTGCTAACCATTACAGCGCCTCGAGGTGCCAATTAAAATACAGACCAGTGAATAGAGGCATGAATAGAATTTATTTCAAAGCTGCAACCCCACCCCTTTTTTGAATTACTATAACAAGAAGTATGGTACAGTACCTAATCCATTTTATTCTTTAAGAAAGGGTAAGGAATTATTTACTAGTTATTAATTTGATTTAGATGCTTCATTTTAGCTTTCACAAACCTACAACACTAACATACCATAACAAAATAATATATAATTTGTAATAATCTTGAATTCAATCATAATTTATAAATCTTAAGTAATTGAGTAATGATCTTGAAATAATATTAACTCTGTTATACTAAAACTGATATCATTTAAATATAATTGCTTGTATTTTATAAGTAACAAAAAATAATGACATTGCAAAAATTTATGTGAGTTAACTTAGTGGAAACTAGTGCATTAACTCCTCCTGTTGAAGAAGTTATTTCCCTTGAAGTAAGATATTTTCGATATCTGTTTTTTTTTTTTTAAAACAGATGCATCACAGAGACTTGTGGTTTCTGCCGTGAACAAACATCTGTAATTCATATCTTCAGTGCCAAGTTGGCTATTATTATCATTATTATTATTATTATTCTGAGAAATGCTTCACTTCCAGACATTTTTTCTCTGCATGCATATTAAGTCACTTAGTTTTGTGTGCTTGTTTCTGTATTTATTCAACCAAAACTAAAACCTACAAACAAGGTATCTCTCGGACCATTAGTTTTTAAATATTTAAATTCAGGGTTCTTGTGATAAAGATTTTAAATATTTAACTCACAATCTTCATCTATAAATTACAAAGACCTAAAAGCAAGATAATATAGTGCAGTGTACAGTAATTAAAGTTTCAATCATTTCTTGTTCTTCAAAATTTCAAAAGGTAGCTAGCGCAGTCAAAATTGGCAGCCATTTCCAATGAAGACAAAGAAAGAAAAAAACAAAACAAAACGTAAAGCAAAACAAACTTGACAAGATCAGAAACATTGTTTTTTTTTTTGTTTTTTTTACTTACATGCACTGGCACCATTTTCAATCTCGAGCATCCAGGTTCCTTTAGCAAACTCTCCCCAGTTATGTGTCGTCATGAAAGCCCAGTTGCTGAATCCATCTTGTGATGTGTCTCTCGTCCTTCGAGCAAGCAATGTTGATTTTGTGCCCATAGGTGATGTCAGGAATATTTGGATTTCTCCTCGGCGATCTGACGTCAATGTAACACGTGCCTGCACATGTTCAAGGTATTTTACATGATTATTTCTTCCTTCACAGCCAGTTGAGTAAAGAGCAGCAGTTGCTCTCCCATTCATTGGAACAACCCTGTTAGATAACACCAGCAAAGTTAAATCAGACTTGAAATCAGTGAGGAAGGTTTTTAAACACAAAGAATTGGTTAATATGATATGTTTGCAATATGGCTATGATATTTGCAATATATGTTTGCAATATGGCTATCAAAATTTTCATATTTATAACATAAATTTTGCAATATGGCTATGATGTTTGCAATATGGCTATCAAAATTTTCATGTTTCTAACATAAATTTTCAGAGTTTATAACATTCCGTTCACATTGTAAAATGAAATTTATAAAAGTTGCAACAATCACATATACAAAATATTTTGGCAACAAGAGTTGGTTAACAACTTTCAGGTTTTTGTTAATGGAATTAAAAAGTTTGTAATCTTTAAAAAGAAATAACCAAAGTAATAAAAGATTACAAAAAAAAAAAATAAAAACGATTAAGATGGTGGAAATAAATATCATAATATAGAAAAGAAACAGGCATTTGCTAATCAAATATTGCAAAGTCACCTGATTTTGTCAGGAATATATTATTTCCAAATCAATGACAATCCCTGAATTCTTGATCTGCATAACTGTATTGCAAACAGCATACAAATTTGGTACCAAAAGAGGTTCTCTGACAAATAACATTAATTACATAAATCATTTCCCCTCATCGTTTTTTTTTTTTTTTTTTACACTAACAGAAATGATAAACAAATAGACTAAAGTTAGGGTGGAGTAGAGTAGCAATAAAAAAAAAAATACAGTGAAAATCTGAAATTTGGCATAAATAAATATAAAACAAGTTCAAATGGTTGCCTTATTGGGGCACAATATATATCTAATTATTAGAATGAATGAAAGTCTTTATGTATGCATTTACTAAATTTCACATGTGGTAGGACATGTTACATAAACAGCTGATATTTTAAAACTTGTCTAACAGAATTTTCTTGAAGAAAAAAATGCATATTCTTAGAGAATAGATTTTACATTTGGAGTGATTTTTGGAAAACCATTTTGTAACTAAAATGGTTGCAAAGTTAATAGTTACAAGATAAAAGTTCTTGCCACAACTGTAAATTCCAATTTTAGTGATTTAAAGAGTTCTTAAAAGAGAGATTTAAACCATTAAACTATTAGGTTGTCACACATGAAATGACGTACTTAATAGGAAATTAATAAACCGCCTCTGAAATGTAAAATAACTAATTTATTTAGCTGAAATAGGCACCACATTGATGAATAACTGTTCTCCAATGTACCTTCTTAATCCCATCTTTAAAAAAAATTCTCATCCTTTGATGTGATGAACAGTTCAAATGCTTCAATTACCTATTCCTTATTGGAGAAGGTTTTATGTACTAGCTTAAAAACCACCCTATTGGGCCACATTTTAGCTAGCTTCTGTGGATGTCTCTTGATTGGGTCTTCATCACAATAGGTAGGGAGGAGTAGATGTAATGGGCAACAATAAACTACAGAAGAACTGAAAATTGATTGCTGCATTTAAGTATTGCATTAATATTTAAGCCTACCTTTTAAAAGTTCAACAAAAATTCTTCTGACACCATGTAATTTAAAGACAATTTGATGTACTCAGGTCCTTATTTCATGAGTGACCTTCGCTGGATTTTGCAATTAATTTCAGAATTGCTGGTCTGGATCTGGCTTGGAATGTTTTTAATTTGCTCATGGAGTTGGGCTGAGTCTAAAATGGTATGACATGTTGGACTATGGCCTCTAAGAGTAAAGTCGAAAAGGTGTGACACACCGACAATCGTATTTATTATATAGATGAAAAGCTCAAAATGCTTAAATAAGTGATAATCAGTAAAAGAGATATCAGGTGAATATGAAGGATGAGGAAAAATTTCATAATTCAGGTTATGCGGCTTGTGGATAAGTGTATGGCTGTGTGTTGTTGTGCAGGAAAAATGGACCATCTCTATTTACAATACAAGGTTGCTGTTGTTGTTGTTTTACCTTGAGGCAAGAATGAATAATAAATAACCCCTTTGAAAGATCACTATACAGTAACCAATAATTTTTTAGGGGCAGTAGAGGTTTTGAGTATTGTTTTGGTGATTCACTTGCATCTAACCATTAGCCTAATCTCTTAATGTTGTCAAAGAGTATCCATTTCTCATTGCATGTAATGATTCGATGCAAAAATGGTTCTTTCTCCAGTCAGGAAAGCAACAGAGAGCACACCTCAAAGTGACTTTTTTTTTTTTTTTTTTAATCTCAATCAATTCATGCAGAACAAACCTATGCAGTTTCTTTACTTTTCCAATTGCTTTCAAATGCTGAGAAACAGTTGTGTGAGATATTTTGAGTTCTGATGAAAGTTTTCAGATTGTAGTTGTTGGATTTTTATCAGCCAAAAAATTCACCTGATCATGTCTGATAACCAATTATGGTATTCTCTTTGGTTTATTTTCAAGACCAATCCACAAACTATCCCAGACAAAACTTCTGAAACTATCTCTGTACAGTTCTGATTTTAACAATACCATTACCATTAAGAAATGCATCAAAAGCAAAATGACCCAGTTTGTATTCATACAGTAAGATTACTTGACATTGTTTCATTGTAATCATTTACTGAGCTTAGGAGTAACAATATATTGAAAGAAAAGTTATCTGAAAGAAAAAGAGTCAAGAATAAGTGAAGATTTTTTTTTATATACTAAGGAGGTTACTTTGTTAGACGACCAAATCAACAACCGACCAAAAAAATGTGTCATTTCATCTGTGACAACCTGATATTAAACCGTTAAACTATTAGCATACAACAATTTTAACATGATAAAGAATTTGTCATATAGGAAGAAAATGAGTAACTACCGACACAGAGGTTTGAGCATGACACTCTGGACTTATGAATATATGTTCTCCAACAGGTGTATAAATAGCAGTGTCAGGCTACTGACTGTAGTGATTATTGAATAACTATTAAGTGGAACTATCCAGTTGAATTAGTGTGAATTATCATGTGTTGATGATTTGGGCTTTGATTTAGAATTTACCAGACTGAAATGGTTAATTATCTTTGGTTGACTTTTACTTCTTTGTTTTTGTTAAGTATTTATTTGCAGTTGTAATTAAATACTGTTTTATTTTAACATTTAAGCCTTGAGTTATACTTAATTATTAACGGCCACTGTACATCACAAAAGAATTATAGTAGTATACTTTTTTCAAGATAGTGAAGATGTTTTAACTTTGCAGTAAATAATTGATATAGAGAATTTGTATTTGATTTGTACATCAATTTGGTGATAATATATTATAAGATGATCACATTAGATATTTCAAAGATCTTTGACAAGGTGTGGCATAGGCAGTTGCTGTAACAAGCTTTCTAGCTATGGAATCACTGGAAGAGTCTTCTCAATTACCCTAATGAGTAGGTCCATGAAGGTAGTTGTCAATGGCCAGCCCTCCAAAGCCCAAGTGATCAATGCAGGTGATACCCAAGGCTTACTTTAAGGTTCAACTCTCTTTTTATATTACATAAATGATTTGTCTAAGAGTATGCTCTGATCATTTGTGAATATCTATTCTAATGATACAATATATATGGGTTGCTTCTAAAAAGCAAGATGACCAGAGCTGATCTCTTGTCTGACCTAGCTCTAACAGCTCAAAGGGGTGGAAAAATAGCTGGTTACATTCAATGCTTCAAAAACTAGTGACTATCTACAGGCTTAGCTGTCATAAATGGGCTCACATGGGTGATTCAAATGGAACTTTCATAATCTACAGGCTTAGCTGTCATGAATGAACTCACGAACATGGGTAAATTCAAATGTGACTTTCATAATCTACTAGCTTAGTCATCATGAATGAAGTCACAAAGTTGGGTGATTCAAATGTTACTTTGGTGATCTACTTGCTTATTCTTTGTGAGTGGGTTCAGACCTGGGCCATTCAAATAAATGTTAGTTTCATAGTCTTAGTTGTCATGAATGAGCTCACAGACCTGGGTGATTCAAATGTGACTTTGGTGATCTACTTGTTTAAACATTGTGAATATAACAGTTACACAAGCTCTATCAATAGGATCACACGATTGACTGAGCAACTCCACTGGAGAGTATTTACATATGTGCAGCCAAGTGGCCTCTGATGTGATTTTAAATGGATGGATAGTTTGTGGATTGGTCTTTTATTTGCAGACTATTTATAAACAAAGTAACATATATTAAAATTGACAAAATCCAATTGAAATATTAAAAAGAAAATAATTTCTTTTAATTTTAAATAATTGACAAATTAATTACGTGCAACATACCTGCTCCTTTCTGGATAACGGATTTCACATACTTTTTGTTTTGGCACTGTAGTCCAGTTTCTTGCAAGAGACACCATTTCAGATGCATCCATTAATCCATAGCCAAATGAATGGCTGACTGAAAAAAAAAAAAAAAAAAAAAAAAAAAAAAAAATGAACAAATGAAATACACAGCAAAAAGCTTTTCAGTTTTCAATAAAGAGAAAAGCAGTAACAATTGGATATGTTTCTTATTCCAGAAATGTTCTTCAAATAAAGAATTGAAAAGATGGAGGTAAAAACATGACTGGAATTTTATAAGATTGTAATTATTTTTGTACAGTTAAAACATAATCAAACTTTTGATATAACAAATGGCAATAGGTAACTTTGAAAATGAGTGTCTTGTATAAATAATATGATCAGCTTGTAATGCATTAATATTATGTACTGAATTAGCTGCCTGATTCTTGTGACTGTGTCATGATAATCTAGACCTCTTTCTCATATCCTGCCCTGAAAAATGCTCCTCTGAAGTGTTAACATATTTGGGCACTTCAGACAACTCACTAGTTAGTGTTAAAGTTGATGCCAAATCAAAAATATCCTCTGATGTCCCATTTCATAGGACAGTCTTTTGGTACACCAAGACTGAGATAGCTTCAGATTTTACATGGCAGAACCCACTGCTCTCAGAATTCTTAAAAAATAGAGCCTCCAGAACTGCTGTCCTCATTTCTGAGTGAATCCTTTCTGGTATAGAAAGTTTTATTCCCTCCAGAAAAAATACCAACAAAAACTGAATAGTCACCCCTGGTTCACTCCAGATTGTGCTGCAGCCATAGCTCACCATAATCACTACTACCATCCCAGTTACAGGGAGCAGTGTAGTAGGACCCTTGCTGTATTCAGAACTGCCTGCAATCATTGCAAGAGAATTCTAGAAAATGCAAAGAGAAATTATGCACAAGCAGTTCAATCAAAGGTTGAAAGCAAGAGATTTGGTTCTCTTGAGTTCTGGAAAATCTCAAATAAAATTCTCAATAGAGGCAAAAGACCAGTGCCTACTATCATAAATAGCCCTGAGGTTATCTCATCCTCATCAGATAATGTTAGGCTATTTGGAATGAACTTTACCTCTAATTCTGTGTTAGATGACAAGAGCGATCCCCTACACAAACTCACCCCTTTCACAGATCACAGAATAATATCTCTACCACGACTCTCCAGGAAGTTTCCAGACTCATCAAAAGACTTGACTCTAAGGAGGTTCCTAGGACAGATAAAAACCCAGAGATTGGTCTTAAGAGTATTAACCAAATGTTTTCTCCTATCTTGGAAAATCTGTTTAACTGCTGACTGGGGGAGAAATCCTTCCCAAGTCTACGGAAGGTGACAGCTGTATGTCCTGTTTTCAAGATATGTGGGTGAATGCTCATTACAATCACATTCAGCCCTCAGCAAACTCTTTGAGGCTATCATCAATAACAAGGTTGTTGATCACCTCACCAGAGAAGCTCCTGAGCAATAAATGGTATGGATTTCATTCTGCTACATTTATTGCTGAGATATCTTGTCATTATGCATAAAATCAATGAGTTACTAGACAATAAATTCATCCTGAGGACAATTAGCTTTCATATCTCAAAGGCCTTTGAAAAGGTGTGGCATAGAGTCCTGCTATATAAACTCTTTGGCTTTGAAATATCTGGTAGAATTTTCGCAGTTATCATGTTCTTCCTAAAAGGTTGGGTCCATGAAGAAGATTGTTGTTAATGGACAGTCTTCTGAAACCCATGAAATCATTGTTTAAGGCTCAGATCTTAAACCTATTCCCTTTTGTTTTATATTAACAATCTGCCTAAGTAACCTACCTTAAGTGGCTCTTTGGCCTGGTATTGGGTGAATATTCATAAAAAAAATAAAATGTTTATGCTCATTGATTCTTTGACAGACTTTCAACTTTTAGTGAATATCTATGCAGATGATACAATTGGTACACCTCTAAAAATCAAGATTTTCAGAGCATGGCAACTGATCACTTTTCTGACTGAGCTCTAACAGATCAATGAAGGTAAAAACTGGCTTGTAACATTCCATCATCACTGAGCAGATCTTGAATTCCTGTCTGTTATAATGAACAGATGCTCTCTCAAGGAAGTTTCTTGCCTTGAATGCCTACTGGGACTCATGTTCAACCCAGTCTTTAAGTGGAATTTATATATATATATATATATATACAATCAATTACTAAAGATGCTGGAAAAATGATCAGTTCCTTGTACTGCTCTAGTAAGTACCTAACTCCTCCTGCTATGCTCTCCCTTTACAAGAGCCAGATCTGACTAAAAATGGAAAACTGCTACCATACCAGGGCTAGAGCTGTCCAGTCCTCATGTTCCAATCTTGACATCACTACAGCCTAGTGGGTGATGGATTGCTTTCCATCCTATAACCCCTTTCCCCACAAATGAAACATCACAAGCCACTCACTATATCGGTATTTCTATAGTAGATGTCCAGATAAGTTATATTCCTTAATTCCACCAATTCTAACTTTCATAGCTAAGACCCACCATGCACTGCGATGAACCATCCCCACTTTTTTTGTATTCCATTAGTAAGTAGGAAGTTCCACTCAAACAAGTTCTTCCCAAGAACCTCTACTTTGTGAAACAGCCTCCTGAGATGATATTTTCCTGACTGCTAATTTAATCTCTTCATCTAGGGTTAACTGTTATCTTTGCCAAATATCCATATAAATTGTGCTTCTTACCTTCTACATCTATTAAATTCATACAGCAACCTCATTCCCTAACCTTTCTAACTTAAGTGGTTCTTTTGAGCATTTGTAGTGGGTGAATATTCATAAAAAATACAATGTTTATGCACATGCTTTCTTTGGTCTTCTTTGTAAAATGTGGTATTACTATTATAAATTGATTCTTTTTTATCTAGTTTTCTTGTTCATGTCATTATCAATGTGTTTTAGTCACGTATCTGTTGCATCTATTTTCTTTCCAAGAATATTGAATGCAATTCTCCAAGATTCTTGATTAAATTAAAGGTACATTTGAGAAGATTCTGAAAGTCTTTGGTTTTTACAATATCAAGCCAGGATTTGAAAATAGTTCCACCTTCTATAGACTCATATTCTGAATTAAATCTTTACAAGAAGGAAATATAACTAAGAACTGTGTGTACAACATTCCACAAAGTTGTGCCAGACAATACAGAAGTAAAATTGATTGCTTCCTAAAAGGAAGGATTAAGGAACAGCCATTGAGAGAATGAAATCAAGTAGAGCTGATCATGTATGATAAATTAGGCATACCAAACCCCTATGAAACAGTTTTAATGAAGGTAAAAATTAGAGAAGACAACTAAAAGAATTAGCATGCATGCATGCTATATTCAAGGCATCCAATCAATAGGCAGCATGTAGATATGAAACTCTACCTGAATGAGACATGACCTAATAGATAAAAGCAATAGTAAAATTCAACTGGTTTGCTTGATGTTGTCAGATAGTGACCCAGAGATTGAACATCAGTTCAACGGACAGGCAGGGTGGGTCATCATATAGAAGAATTGATAGTTAAGATTGGTTTGGTGTGGTTTATGGCAATGGGTTATTTAATACCAACAAGATTTTTATTGCTGGTAATATTTTTTTTCAAAAAAGTATTTCTGGTAACATTTTTTTCCAAAAATGTATTGCTGGTATAAAAACCTATTTTTACACATTCATAGTGTTTTGACCCCAGTTTGGGAGTTAACTATTTGTCCATAGCTTAAAAGGTGCTACCACCATGGGTCATAGTGGACCTGTGAACACCATCAATTAAGAAGTGGTTCCACACCCCTTAAAGCATGACAAGTAAACAAATTCATAAGCCTTTTGTGAAAAAAATAAAAAATAAAATGTTACTAAATATGACCAGCACCTGAGGAAGATAAGCAAAGATGAGGATTTGAGTGATTTGAAAGAATCAACATATAAAAGGTAATTTCAGGTTCAAACTAAACAAAAATGTCATTAAATGCAGGTTAATTTGAATGAATTAAAAGACACCTTCAGATTTACAAGTCCAAGACAAATTGTGCTGAACACAAAATTACTTTCATTTTAACAGCAGCAGATAGTAACAAAAGATGATAATTTGTACTTTTACATTTTTTTCATAATTCTGAATCAAGACACTTCAACCTGACATTGGCTTGTCACACTTTGAAGATTCTTGCTTATTTTATAACACTAATAATAATATTCAATGATTAAGGTGACAATGTTTCTTGTCCCTTGAGACTAATTTTTCATTGTCAACTGAAAAGTGAAGCAAGAAGTTAAAAAAACTAACGAGTTATCTTCATAACTTACCTTTACGGCCAACCCCATTTATAAGCCAATCTTGAGCGTCTAGATTTCCAGGTTTCGCTGTCAACACAACTATATGCTGCATATCACGCCAAGTTAACATGGAGCTGCAAATGTACAAGTCATTAGTAAAAACTGATACGGAAGAAGATTAGAAATAAAAATAGATAGAAAGTTAAGTTTTCACTTGGCCAAATTTTGGCATTTTGACAAAAATATTTGCAAAAACCATGACAACATGAATAAATTTGGCTGATAAATCAAGATATTAAATATAAGAAGAAGAATAGGAGAGAAGAATAAATAATTTAAACAGTAACCTACTTAGCTTGTAATGCCAGTGCACAGAGGCCAGCAGCCAAGGGCGCACTGGCTGATGTCCCCGTGTGAGTCTCTGTACAACCTCTCCGCAAGTCAGTCGTCACCTAGAGAAAGAAAAATGATCATTATTTTTATTATCTTGTCAGAGAAATGTTTTCTAGCTGAAAGAACACAGAGGTTCAATATTAGATAAATAAAAAAAAATCCAGTAATACTGAAATATATTTATGATAGAATTGACAACTGAGAAATTGTCAAAATTATTGGATGATTGATTGGAAACTTCCAACAAATTAAGTCATTTTGTTGACAAAACTCATTTTAATGCTTGACCTATGACCATACATTTCTGAATTTAAATACATTTCTATAAAATCATTAGCAATATATTTTCAGGAAGCATATATGTTCAGTGACATTAATATTTTAATTTCTGATCAATGACAATCTCTTTTGACCTGATTTGCAATGTATTTCTACTATAAAACTATGAGCAATACATTTATATTATATTGAGTTGGAACATTTTTTTAAGTGAATTTCAAAGGCAATATTTAGATATTTGTACATAGGTTTATTCAACCACATATGCATCATTTTGTTCCGTGACCTTTCACCATCTTTAAAGTAAATTCAGGAGTCCATCCTTCCAGAACTGGGTTTATTTCTGGGTGATGAATTGGTCTAAGTGGTTATTACAGGTGTTCAGAAAATTGAAGTTCTTCTCAAGAATTTTGCAGGGATTGAAGTAAGTGGTTATCTAAAAGTGCAAGGTCAGGTGAGTAAGGCGGGTATAGAAGCAGAACATCCCAGGCAAGCTGTACCAATTTCTGCCAGGTCTGAAGACACGAGACATGAAGTCTGGAATTGCCCTGCCAGAAACTCCAATTGGTCAATTTTGAATTGCTACCTATAATTAGTCCAGTTGAGGACAGTACATGTTTGAATTCAACATCTGATATTTTGTAAGGAGCTCAATACTTCACAATGTTATTACAATCCCACCATATACACAGTATCACTTTCTTTGAATGTAGACTGGCTGTTGGAGTGATTACCTAGAGTTCATTGTTTTCTCCCAGTACATTTTTCACTCCACACTGTTGTAAACAATCCATTTTTCATCACCTGTGATTGTTCTTTCCAAAAATAGCTTGTTTTTGTTGCATTTGAGCAGAGAATTGCAAATTAAATCATGATGTATGCAAACATTGTAGCAATTCATGTGTTTTCAAAAGTCTTAAAAGCTCCTATGAGATATGTGAAGTATCTATATTATTTTGTCATGAGACTGGGATTTTTTTTTTTAATTAAGAAAACATTCTCAGTTTTCCAGATCAGAATTTCCAATTCTGAACCACTTACAAACATGGCAGCATCTCCATAAATGTCACATATCTTTTTATCATTTGTTTCTACATCACTTTTTTCCCTTTATCCATAATAAAAGAACATCAAATGATGAAAATGCATCTAGTTTTCCTACATGACAAACATTTAAAATGAAGTGTATAGATAGATGCATGAAAATGCAACCTTTCAGAATATGAATGTGTCAAATTTCAGTCATGTGTGGAGCAAAATTATATGTTCAAACAACACTTATTGAAAAACACTACAGATTTTGTTTCAGTCCAATATATAAAATAATATTTTCATGACAGTAACACTTGCATTAATTCCTGGCTGCTGAACATACATTTTTTCCCTTTATTTTAAATGTACAATTTACAGATTGAAGATCAAAATAAATTTTAGGATGAAAGTTAAGAAAAAATCAGTTATTTTTAAATCATCAGAATTGTTTTTCAGAATAATCAGAAATATTTTGTGCAAAGAAATCACCTATCTAACAAAAGGTGAAATTCATTGGATGTACGATGAGAAGGAATGGAGTTTTAAAAAAAAAAAAACCCATTAGGTAACAAAAATGTTCATTTAGTTTATAAAGTTTATAAGATGGCTTGATTTTTTTTCCGACATTAACATTATTATACAATAAATTTACTTATTCAGACAACTTCATATTTTCATCTTCCCAGAACTTTTAATCTTTCTCAGCCATAATCTGTTCTAGCTGCCTTTTTACACTCTTCCTGGAAATTTAAATTGTTCTTTTTTTGTGAATTGAATACTGTAAAAACTAAAATAAATGGTAATCCAAAGGTGGAATATTTGGTAGATGAATGAAAACCGTACCAGCCAAGTTGCAACAATTTTTGTCTGGCTATCAAAAGAAATATTACATCTTGCATTATCTTCATGGTATATTATACAATTTCTTTAAGTAAATCTGGGTTCTTTTTGACTGCCACTTTGATTGGTCTGATAGCGATGGTGGGGGGTGGGGGTGGACACATCATGTGTTAGAAGCAGTTGTTTACTTCTTCAGAAGGAGCTCCTAAGTAAAGATTATTCCAATTTTGTTACATACACATCACAGTCTTTGGATGAAAACCAACCTTGTGTAAAGTTAGTAGGGGGTTCATTTTGTTAGTTTCATCACACAAAAATGAAATTACAGACAGACATACAGAGGCTAGTAAGTGTTTTTGCACAATCTCTATGGAAGCCACATATCAATGTGATGAATATAATCAAGCTTCTTCAAATGATTTTCACTGCTTGGTTTGAATATTTTAAGCATGTTAACTTTCTTTTCTATCATATAACATTGATTATTCCCATGTTTTTTTCATAAAGAAAACTTGCATTTGACTTGCATTTTTATTCTTCTTAAAATAAAAAGCATAATATACTGAAAAAAATTGCTTATTCTTTTTCCATCTTCCGTGTTAGTCAGAATCAATAAAATCACATAATAAAATACATCCTGATATGATAGTTTTTATAATATAAAAGTTAAAAATAAAATTCTTCTAATAACATTTAGTAAGAGAGGAAATTTTGAGGTTACCCAGTATATCTCACTGAATCAATAAACTTTGAATTTAGTTATTTAGTAAGTAATACCACTCAGTGTTTACTTTTTCTCTTAGTAAATAGTACTTCTCAGTGTTTACTGATATCTAATTAAAAAAAAAAAAAAACATATTGGATGATTTTTTCATGAAACTGACACCAAAAAAAAAAAAAAAAAAAAAAAAAAGATTTTCTCTTTTGCATACTGAAGTTGAAAAATTGTTTTTTTCAATTAAAAAACAAACAAACAAAAAAAAAAGCTTATAATTTAATTTTCCCAAAGAAATAACATTTAAAGAAAGAAAAAAAAAATTGTTCCACATGGCTTCACACAAATTATTATAGTTATTCTTTGTGTGTGATGAACTATGTGAACTGGGTAAAACCTACACAATTTGTTTGAAGAGACAAGATAACTTATTAGTGTTTGTAAATGAGATTGTTGGAATGATTCGACAACAGTTTTAGTTATTTGTGAAAACTTTCAAAGTGTCAAGGTAAAATGAAAATGCAATCTACCTACCCTATAGCTATTTAGGAAAAAAGAAATATTAATTATAGTGGTGAATGCTTGTCTATCTATCGGGTTTGCTGGCCAAAGCTAATATTGTTATTTAAAAAAAACCAAAAAAACTGACAATTATTTAAAGAGAATTTTAGAACTTCAAAAATTATAATCAGACGTAACAAAATAAAAATTCAAGTGAGGTATTCGAAAGAGATTCACAAACATTACTCACAGTCACATCAGAGACTGTGTCCTTTATAAAACTTTTTAGTAGAATTATGGTAACAAATGGCATATTTTACAAAGACTGAACTGGAGAGAGTTTAATACCTCCATTTTAATAATTTAACTATAGACGAACATAACGTCTAGAAAAGAAAAGGAAAAAGAGATCTTGTATTCATTGTTTCTAAGACAATATCAAGATAAAGAAAAATATTCAGGCAAATTAAAAAGTGTAAAGTTATACCCAATTGTTCTTTTCATTATCGAATATCTTCTCAGATTAACAAAAAAAAAAAAAATCTTTAAAAATCTCAGTATTCATCATATTACCATATATCCCTCTAAGACATTTACATAGATGATTATTATTTTTATTTCATTTCCTTTGATTCTTGGTGTGTACACATTTATTTCTAGGTCCCGCCCTGAGACCTAAGGCCAGAAATGGCATCATGACATTTTCTGACCAATTAAAAAAATCATTAACAATTTAATTATCCCATTAGGATATCACAGATTTTGTACTAAGGGACAAATTTGGGCCTTGAAGACTGGAACCCAAGGGTTAGTGAATGATAGACCAATACTCTACCATTTACCTTTCTCCATAAACACAAACTCAACTACTTTGTTCTTTTACTTATAAGACGGCAAGAGGAGTAGATAAATTGGATATGCAGGTAAATAGATAATGACAAGAGTGGGATGGAGTTTGTGAAAAGATATGGCACACTTTGAAATTTACCAGATTTGTGAAGAATTGACAATGAACATCAGTTACAGAAAACATTTTTAGTTATTATTTTGGGTTTGTGGAAACAAGATTTACAAAAGGTATTCATCATCATTTCACTTTCTACTAAAGTTTTATTCCAGATATTTTCATATAACAATCTTCATATAATGACATTATTTTTTTTTAGTTTTTTTATTCTGATCACTTACCAATGTATTTAAAAAAAAAAAAAAAAAAAGAGTTCTGAGAAGATAGATATTTCACAATCTTTTTGGGTGAAATCATACTAAATACAAAGAGAACACCAGTTATATTGTTTCTACCATAATCTATACTATTATTTGATTTGTTTGCATGTATTAATATTACATTTTTCTACCTAAAATCAAAGGTGTAGTATCTGCTTGACCCCTAGTCCTTCTGAGTTGAAATCAGTTATGCTTTCTGACTGAGAAACCTACATAATAATATCAAGTGGGAAGTAATTGAGAATGTGAGGGAGATGAAAAAAGAGGACATGAAGGAGAAAAAGTAAGAAAGGCAAAGAGAATAGGAGAAGTAAAGAGAATATGAAAAAGGAAAAGTAGAAGCTAAGAAAATTAGAGAGAGGAGGAAAAGGAAAGAGGGTGTAGTGGTAAGAAAGCTAGAGAAAAAATGAAAAAAAAAAAAATAAAGGAAAAAAGAGAAGAAATCAGGTGAAAAAAAAGGAAAATATCTTATGTAGGAAAAGAAAGAAAGAGAAGTTTGCTGATTAGATGTCAAACGACAATGGGGGGGGGGAGATTAAAAAGCAGGTTGGAAAGGAAAGGTGCCAAAATTGTTATATACTAAAATACTTTATAGTGAGAAAGAGCAAAAGAAATATAAAAGGAAGGATACAGTAGAAAATATTTTTTGCATTCTTTCTTCCTTTCTCCATGATTTTATGACATTTAGATAAAAATAAAGTTGGCCAATGAAAGCTGGAATGGTTAAAGGAGTGAAGAAGAAAACAGAGAACAAAAGAGTGGGAGAGAAAAAAAAAAAAAAGAGGCATGGAATATTCATATTACAATGTTTTTAAAAATTAACAGGTTTTGGTTATTTTCTTTTGGGTTACAGGAAATGAAGAAGAAAAGAAAAAGATTTCTACGTGGGGAAAAACTAACTACAATTTCTGTCTGTAGTTCTGCAATAGTATCAAATCAGATGACGACACCAGTTCAAATAAATTTCTGTTTACTAACTATAAAGAATGATAAATTATAATAAGAGATATGATTATCTGCCCTTGGCAGTTTAAGGTTAGCCAATCCACTCACAGTTGCTGATTGGCGTGGTTTTCTACCAGTTTTTGAAGAACATTCACTCTTGGTAAGACCTACAAAATGAACACTTGCAGAATCAACCAGCTCTACATAGTTAACACCACAGAGTCTGTAGATGGCGAAAACATTGACTCTTCTTCAGCAGTTAAGTTTGGTCACAGACACCGTTAAGTTTGTAAGGACTTATTTGTAATATTGTTTAATACAACTTGTATAAATCAGAGGTCAGTTGCATTCTATTCTTTATGTTATACTAGCAGCGTTGCATGTGCTTGATTCAAAAATCGTACGACTCATACAGCAATCGCTATCACTTGACTTATTTTTGCCCTTCCTTGCCTTTAAAGGAGTGCCCTTTGCCGTGCTGATGTTGCTACATGCCTATCTCACATTTTTCTAAGCTCTATATACTAAACATTAAATCTGTTACGAAAAAAGAACTAAACAAAATGAACACAAAACGATCAGCTTTAAAAAAGGACTAACTGGAAAAACCGAATGAAAAAAGAATGTTAACAACAAATACTTTTTCACACTTAACCCAGTTCTGCGGAATCAGAATCAACATCGAGTTTAAGCAAGTGAATGAGCCAATTGGAGTAAAGTGCCATGCAAATTTAAATTTTTCCCACTTGTGACGAATGCAGCTATCGATTGTTTTTGCATGCTAGTTAACATTTGTGTCAGTCAGCTGTTGGCTCTCACGCTGGCCAGTACAAAATGGCCACAAACTACATGAAAACTGCTGTAGAAGCATGAAAAAATTGATTATTTCCACTATTGATGGGAGTTGGGAAATGCAAAGTCGGTTTTGGCCTTCCCACTAACTTGGAGCATGTGCATGTAAATTTTGGTGCAAATCTGTTGAAAATTGCGGCCGTGCATTCGTTACACACACACACACACACACACACATCCCTGCCTTTTATAGATAGAGATTCCGTGCTAAGGTAATAAATACTTAACACAAGGTGGATAATAGAAGAAAGGATATTGTACACAACCAGTACAATATGAAATATGGTATAGTTATACACACAGGTCAATCTAGTTTCAATCAATTTCCCATAAAATAAAAGAAATACAGAATCAATGGTTTCACTGTTTTTGTTTCAAGGACAAAAAAAAAAAAAAAATCCTTATTTATATTCAAACCTTTTTTTTTTTATCCTTATATTCAAACCTTTTTTTTTTTTTCCTTTATTCAAACCTTTTTTTTATCCTTATATTCAAACCTTTTTTTTTATCCTTATATTCAAACCTTTTTTTTTTTATCCTTATATTCAAACCTTTTTTTTTTTATCCTTATATTCAAACCTTTTTTTTTTATCCTTATATTCAAACCTTTTTTTTTTATCCTTATATTCAAACCTTTTTTTTTAATCCTTATATTCAAACCTTTTTTTTTTAATCCTTATATTCAAACCTTTTTTTTTTAATCCTTATATTCAAACCTTTTTTTTTATCCTTATATTCAAACCTTTTTTTTTTATCCTTATATTCAAACCTTTTTTTTTATCCTTATATTCAAACCTTTTTTTTTATCCTTATATTCAAACCTTTTTTTTATCCTTATATTCAAACCTTTTTTTTATCCTTATATTCAAACCTTTTTTTATCCTTATATTCAAACCTTTTTTTATCCTTATATTCAAACCTTTTTTTTATCCTTATATTCAAACCTTTTTTTTATCCTTATATTCAAACCTTTTTTTATCCTTATATTCAAACCTTTTTTTTTATCCTTATATTCAAACCTTTTTTTTTATCCTTATATTCAAACCTTTTTTTTTATCCTTATATTCAAAGAAATTTACAAATAACCAAACTCTAAACACAACAAAATGTAGAATGAACAAAAAGTTTCCTTTACTCAATTTCTTTATTCAGCTTAAATTATTTATGAATTTTATATAATAAAGAATTAAGTCAATCAGTATTCAAAATATATTTTCTGGATAGAGCTAATTATCTATGTAGTATATAACAGCATGCATCAACCCTCATCAAAGCTGGTAGATATAGTAGTAAAGTAGATAATTATTGAAATACTTAATTACTATTGTAATGATAAAGATCTATAGAAAAGATATCTAACAACTGGACAGGGTGGATTGAGTTTGAGCCTTTTCTCAAGCACCAAAATAATGCTAATAGGAATGATAAATATTTTGAAAAGAATTTTCCATTTACTGTATTAAAAATGGTAGTATTTGTATATCTAACATGTGTTCCATCACTTTATTTAATGAATGAGATCATTTTATCATTTACTCGAGTTGATGACTAATGATATATTAAAATGAAATAAATATGTAATACAAAAGAAGAAACTTCAATTGGAACAATACGACAGACATACAAAAATATGATTTAGTCTTAAATTAAATTTCTGCACTAACTCATTTTCAAAATGGCTGCCTTAACTTTCTGTATACAGATCAAGAACTCTGGAACAAACTTTTCAAAAGACTTATTCTCATGCCAAAACATTGGTACCAGCATGTAGAAAAATCTAAAATGACTGCAACCAATTTAATTATGTCATGTCTACATGTTATTTGATGGCAAGACTCTCATTCAAACCTAATATTAAAATTTAATGAATTCGTAAGGAAAAGAAAGTCTCTTTTCATGTGGACCAAATAAGAAAAATCTTTTAAGTTCCCAAATGGAGAGAGGCTCTTAGATGCAAAATCAAATAGGGTTAGTGTTAGGGTTAATAAATTTCTAAAATTAGTTTCAAAGTGTCATTTATAGTATTTTGTATAATGTGATTTAGTCGACATGTTTAATCTCGACAAGTTTCTATTTTACATACAATTGAGTTTTCTTTTGAGATATGGCTTAGAACTTTCTGACATATTAAATGAAAGGCTTTTTTTATTTTTCTTCTTTACTTACAATCTGCTTCTCTGCACTGGACCCACTGCTATATGTAGTGGCAAGTGTGGATGAACATGCTTCTGAGTACCAAGGAATATTTCCATTTTCAGTGGCACTGCTGATAGATAAGGTATAAATACTATTGGTATATCCATCACAGTTGCAGCTGTCTCCATCCCGGCCACCATTGCCTGAAGCCCAGACAAATATTGATCCCAAGCCTCCTCGACCCTACATATAGAATAAAATAAGGTACAGAATTTAAAATAAAAATAAAATAAAACAAATTTTATAACTTTTTTAAAAAGCAAAACTAATCACAATATTTGAATGAAAATATCAGAGGGTGCTGAAAAGTTCTCTGCCCAATCCCCTTCCTGAAAACAGTATTTAAATGATCAAACAAGAATACTGATTTTAGGAGGTGGGTCAAACAAAAAGAATTTTTCAGCAGGTACTCCTAATACTTAAAAAAAAAAAAAAAAAAAAAAAAAATTCATTTTAAAGCAATTGCAGGACATCTATATAATAAATGCGAATGTGACTGTGCCACACATTTTTTTTTAACTTTAGTCCTAACATAATATACCATTTTGGAATCAGGCCAACTCTGTTAGCAAATTAAAAACATTACAGGCTGGATCTGTACCTGAAATCCTGAAATTTTGGGTTCCAAAGTTTTCATTACTGTGATTGTTTTCAGCAATTTTTGTACACAATTTTTTTTATGATAATTTTTATAACTTGGAAATAAATTTGGGAATAATCAAAATTAATTGTGAAATCCGGCAAAAGTCACTCATGAAATAAAAATAATTATTTGTATGGAAAGTAAGGACCTACATACATCAAATTGTCTTGAAATTAATTGGCAGCAGAAGAATTATTGTTGAACTTTTAAAAGGTAAGTTTAAATATTAATGCAATACTTAAATGCAGTGGTCAATTTTGAGTTCTTCTGTAGTTTATTGTTGCATCTATTCCTCCCTAATTATAGTGATGAAGGCCCAATCATAGATTTTCATTCTGCAGCAGCTAACTTAAATACCACCTGATAGGGTAGCTTTTAAGCTAGTTATAAATAAAGTTAACAAAACTGGATAAAGACTATATAATCTATAATGGAAAGTTATCTCCTCAATCTGAAAATAATTACAATTTTCAGATTTATTCAATGCAATTCTAGAAAAACTGAGTTATTTTTTTAAAAAAAAAACAAAAAAAAAACAAACTTTTTTTTAGGTCAGTGGCTAAGAAAGTTGGTTCATTGTGTTGTGCAAGACAATTTTTCATTTCAGATTCTATCTTATCTATAAGTTTACCATTTGTTCATGCTTAGAATATTGCTGCCACATATGGTTCGGTGCCCCTGCTATTTACCTTGAGCTTCTTGATAAAATCCAAAGAAGAATTGGCAATATTATTGGACATGATCTGGCAGCTTGGCATCAGTCACTTTCCCACAGTTTTAAGGTTGCCTCTCTGTGTCTTTTCTATAAAGACTTTAATGGTAATTGTTCAGATGAGTTCTTCCACAGTGGAGATTATACACCTCTCCAGGACAGGATTTGTCCAAATACATAAATACGAACACAGAGAATCATCAGTAGAAGGTGTAAACATGTAGATAGTTAGAGATTTAGCTTATCTGCTTACTACTGATGTCAGTAAGACTACGTTGACACCAAGTGACATTTCTTGATTGTGTTATCTTCATTCAGTGCAATGAAGACTAATAGTGGTGATGAGAATTTGAATTCATACGTAAAAAAAAAAAATTTTTTGTTTCCTCTTGCTTAGCATAAATAGCTGGCAAAATTCAAAATTTATGGAAAAGAAAAATTTGGTGGAGTTTGTGTATTTCATAGCGAGATATCAAGTTTGTATGACATACGGCTATTAGGAAAAAAACAAAAATTTTTTATACCAGTTAAGGACTACCTCTATGAACATAATACACTATGGAAGAATTGAAGATAGTTATTCAGAAACTATTATAACAAATGCGATGAAAATGTATTGAATATCAAGAACAGATAAAAGCAATTCTGGAAAAATAAGGAACAGGCAATGTGTCAATTTTGTTTCCGCCAGACTCAACCGCTAACTCAACTAGTGAATTTAATTACATCCCAGAAGAAAACATTAGATTCTTATTAGATTTCAGAAAGTACAAGGCCATTTTCAGAGGAGAATATCAAAAATGGTCAGGTGAAAAGAAGTTACATCTTCTGTTATGAAAATTGTGCCCTGCTGAACAGGAAAAATATCTGAATTTCATTTTGCCAAATACTCCAGAAAAAGTGTCATTTAATGAAACCCTGTTGATATTATCGAAAATCTTTGATGAAATGAATTCACTGTTTTATACACACTGGCATTGCATAAACCTCACTAAGGATGAAAGTGAAGATTTTGTCATATATGACAGTAAAGTCAACCATGAGTGTGAGAAATTTAAACTGGATAAATTATTTAAATGTCTAATTTCGTTAACGGTCTGACATTATGCTACTCTATAGAACATTTCACGACACTGATTTATCATCAGAGATCAAATGGTCAAGCAGAATGAGTCGTTGACATCTTCAAAAGAGCATTAAGAAAAGCTAAAGGCTTGGACTTGAAGAAATGGCATTGCAAAAACTTTTGAGTGTGCACTGAATGACGTCTAATGAAAATGGCACCTGCAGAGCTCATGTTTGCTAGAAAAGTCAGATCCATTTTTGAAAAATTGCTGCCAAGGAATAAGAAGAAAATTTGACAATTTTAAAACTACCAGATCATTTTAGATCAGCAACAAAGTTTTCTTTAAAAGCTTTAAGATAACAGCAAAAAATTGCAACATGAGCACTGGTAAAACATGGTTGCTGAAGACATTAGGTTTATAATACCCAGAAATTCATACACAGATGTCCTCAAGGACACAGTGGATAAAGGCATTAGTTAGATCCAGTGACAGGACCCAGTATGAGTTCAATACCTGGTTAAGGCAGTGGAGAATTTAACTTGGAGAATTAACAGGAGATAACTGTTAACTGACATCCATTCAACATGGCACATGGAACTAGAAGTCTATCCCAGTGAGTGAAGGATTCAGTTCGACATTCCAGCCACCTGAAGAAGGCCGGAGTGTACAATGGCCGAAACGTTGTAATAAATATGGTGACAAAGAGGAGGACAATAGTCTGAATAATGTAAATAGTGTACAGTACTATTAGTACAACTAAGAAGGTTGTTTGTAATGCAGTGTGCGCTTTTGAACTCTTAACTCTGTTCCAGAGAACCTTTGTGTTTAATTCATAATTACAAGATCAAGCAACTACAGACCATGTGGTATCAGATATTAGAAGACTTATGAAAGCAGTATATATAGATTCTTTTCACTAAAAGCACTATAATTACAGTCTCCACTCAGATGCTTTATTACCTGCAGATATTCATCCGTTATCTTCCTCAAATCCTGCCAACTAGTGACTAATAAATATCTTGCATTGCATAACCATCATTTTTAGGTTTTACATACAAGTTCTGCAAAGCACATACCACATCATAAGTTTCACAATTGAAAATATACATAGAAGAAATAATGTAGTAATAAAAGTACATTTAGTTTATTTGGAGAAGGGTTGATCAACAGCTCATAAGAAAATTGGTGATGGCTGCAGACCATTCTGTAGCAGTAGAATTTGAATTAGGGTTGGTTTCAGTCTCGCTCAGATTGGAGAAACTTATCCATGGTATAGTTGTTCAAAGCCAATTATATTTCTTTGTTGAATAAATTTACAACTTAGGCTTTATACAAGAACATGGCAAAGCATGAGAGTAGTATATGTAGCCTTTCAATAAGAAATAATATCTACTAATTTCACAAAAAAAACCGCAAAGTCTATCAATACAGTCTTTTCAGATGTGATTCTCTACTCTTTTGCTTCATTATTTAATATAATTTTTTATGTAGCTGTGCATATATATATATATATATATATATATATATATATATATATATATATATATATATATAATCACTTTAAACATTTTTAGTGGATACTCATATTTAAGTAGATGCTCCATTTATTTATCTTCATTTACTGGCCTGAATGTTTGAGAAATCTTATTCAAAGAAAGAGAGCATAAATTTTTCTTTAATTAGATTTCTCAAACATTCAGGCCGGTAGACTAAAAAAAAATAAATATACTGTCTAATAAATAAATGGAGTGTCTACTCAAATATGAGTATCCACTAAAATTATGTTTAAATATATATATATATATATATATATATATATATATATATATATATATATATATATATATAAACTTTTTTCTCTCTCCAGAGCTTAAAAAAAAAATAAATTGCCTGAATGTTATTTAGTTTTTTTTTCTCATCTTATGAGAAAACTGAAACTATCACAAAATCTAAATAAGTAGTTAAAATTCATTAAGGAATAGTGGTTACATGAATAACTGTCTACCTGAATACATGATGCACTTAATTCAACACTCATATTTCTAACATCTCCACCTACACAGAAATTTTATTCACTAATATTTTTTCTTTTAATTTAATATTTTATTTACTTAAATTTTTGTTTTTTTTTAAATAGGAGTAGATAGGTTTGCATATTGCCTGGTTCATACTCCTCCACACTCTTTTGAAAAGGAGTAGAGGTTTTCCCTTGTTTCCTGTTTAGGATTGGGCTTCCAGTTCCTTCTGAAGTTTTTTTGTTATCTTTCACTCCAAGTACCCCCCCCCCCCAAACCGCTCGCCACCTTGCATCTTAGTGGCATTATCATCTTCCTTCGGGTGAAATGATTAAAAAAAAAGAAAAAAGAAAAAAAAAACGGGTTCAAATAACTGGTCAATATTGAATTATTAGAATTGTCATTACAATATGAAAGTGTGTATAACAAATAGTAATCAAACCTTATGACAGCCAAAACCATGAATAAACAAAAATAATTTAAGGATAACAAGAAAAAAATAAATGTATGAGTTTGAATATTTAAAGCTTGAAGACTTTGGAATCTTGCAATGATTGTATTTTTAATACCTTTGTAATGCCATCAAAGAAGGCTTTTCGGGCTAAGGTGGCTGGTCCATCAACAGTGCGACCATCATCATCAGGTCCCCAACTTGCACTGTATACATGTATGTGTTGAGGATTATGACTTAAAGATTGGGCTTCCACAGAATCTGTTACATCACCATCAAGCATTCGAACACCTGCACAAATAGAAACAATATATCAAGTTAACAAGATGATCTATGTATATAAAACAGTGGATGTCTGTGTGTCTGTGTGATACCTTTTCACTAGAGATCCATCCAACCAAATTTGGACCAACTTGGTGTATACATTTTTAAAATATCAATAAAGCCGAAAAATCGATAAATTCAACTTTTTTCTTCCGATTTCAAACTCGGAATGTAGGTTACTTACATCATGACAAGCTCAATAATACCTCATTTTTATTTCTACACCAATGCGTTTAGCGAAAAACTGCGAAAAAATGAAAAATCGATTTCAACACAAATTTTAATCTAAAAACTACCTCAATTTTCAAGCAATCTAATACAAGGTTCACTCAACAATAAGCTGATTGTTTAACAGTCATTTAACTTGATAATGGAGTTCACCCATATAGTGAAAGCCCTCATAAATAGCGAAAAATGACAATTTTTACTGGTTTCTTTCTTATTTTTTGTTGATCTTTCAATCAATTTTCATCAAACTTAACAATTGCTTTATAAATGTATTTTCTTTTACATCCCTGGTAGCACATTGACAAACTGAATTTCAGAAACTCCAAAATAATTGTGGTCTGAAGTGGGTCTTCATGTTGCCTCTTTTACCCCTTCATGTCCTCAACTAACTTCGATTGAATAAATACAGACTACTTCTCTTATATGAGTAACTGCATTAATTCAAAATGTTTTTTTTTAATGAAAGTACTTTAAAGTAATTGAAGAAGATAGACTGTTACATCTAAACATGATGCGGTTTTTGATCCATTCTAATTGAACGCTTTTTCTGATTGACCAGCTGGGTATGGTTGCTAGTAGTAACTAAATTCACAAAGCAAAACTTGAAAACATTTTACCTTTTATCAAATTTTATGCATTTGTGCATTTAGACACGGTTTTATTTAATATAATAGATTGTCGATTGAAAATGATGGAGATGAGGGGTACTGAAAAGTCCTCAGCCTAACTAGGAAATGAATCAAAAAATTCTGAGATTTGGTAATTTCTTCAGATTTTGGGAAGTGGGTTAGGCTAAAAAAGTTTGACTGCTTTCTGATAATTACTGTTTTATATAAGAAATAAATATAGCATAAACAATTTTCCTTGTCTTTGTTGTTGCTATCACTACATTTTGGCTGTTGTGCCCTCCAACCTTCCTCTATATCGATCTGGGTAACATACAGAGAATTCCGAACTGAACCCTTTATTTAATCTGTGAGGGTAGACTGTTCTTGTTCCACTGCCCATGCCTAGGGATTTCTTGCTTAGTTCTTATTTATAATACTGCTCAATTATTGTTTGCCTGTTTCCACCAAGTCCAAGTACACACTTCCAAGCCCATTAATTGGACTCACAATCACTATGTCACCAAATTTGTGAACCAATGCTTTAATCCATAGGACCATTCTCTTGGAGCCTTAAACCTAACCTACCTACTGATTAATGCTACAACTGCTGCCACCAGCTGTTGTTGAAGATTTGCTGTCATTTGTCTGTGTCTTTATTAGCTGCTCCTATATTGTACTCATTTTTGTGCTTGACTGCTAAGGAGATCCTTATAGTTTAGCATATACACTAATTCTTTCAGACGTCTATGGTTCCTTTATGGTACCTAGACTTGATGAATTTAAGTGCAATACTAGATTGGCAGCAAGGTCTCATCATTTTACAGTTAAAATGGCACAATGTAACTAAGTTCTATGCTAACAGTTTCTCCTCTTGCACTTCTCACTAGTGGAACTCTTCTGGCTCCTTGGTTTCCAGTTAACTTTGATCTTGAAAAATTTAAATGCAATATCAATCATTAACTTAATTTCTGTTCTTTTATTGTTCATTCCCTTTAATGTTTTTTTTCCTTTTTCATGTTCTCTCACACTCTAGTAACTTCTTGTGTCTTAGTGGCTTTAATGCCTTACTTGGGGCTGAAACAATTAAAAAAAAAAAAAAAAAGTTGACTAATTAACATTTACCAAATTGGAAGTTTGGTTTTGTTTTAGCATTAAAACAGAAACAAAGCATCTTGGACCCCCCCCAAAAAAAAAAACAAGCAAAGGTTTTGTAGAAAAAAAAATGAGTGGGGATTGTATCAATAATAAAAGAGTGTGTGTACATGCATTTACAAATAGATAGTTTTAAAAAAATGTCTCTTATAGGATTATTAACAAACAAGATACGTTCTAACAAGCAAAAGTTTTATGCAAAAACCTTTTGAGTAAAATTCCATTGAATTTGTGTTTGTTATGTCTTTTTTTATTCCATTAAGGAAAAAAAAAACTGTTTTCATGACAATAAAAACGAAAAATCTGTTGCATGTAAATCTGAATGAACACAAACATACCTCCAATACTGGCATCAAATGCTACACCCACATTGCATATCATATTGTCTCTCTCAGCTGCCACTTCTCCTGCACACCGGGTGCCATGTCTACAAGAGAGAAGCAACAGAAATAATAAGCAAGCAATATCCTCACATTTCACTTTGAGAAAATTATATATATATATATACAAAGACACAGAAATCATCTAAAAATAATTCTTCCAGTTTAAGAACATTCAAAATTTATAAAGTTCATATTTTAAGACATTTAGAAGGAATAAAAAAGTTTTAAAAAGTCACTTCGATGTTACCGATCACAGATGGAAAGAGGAATGGCCAAGTTGGGCGTCAATGACTAATAAACTCTGCTTGTCATTGATAATTTTCTTAACTGCTGTGATTTTTCTGTATAAACTGAGTGTGGTGTTTAATTTATTTCTCTCACCTCTAACTTTAGCCAATATTCAAATATCACACAGATTTGCCAATAAGGTGTTCCAAAAACCTCTTCCAATGATGAAGCATCAAAATTTCTTCTTTTGTAGGTTTTCTTGGTTGGGCTGAGAACTTCAATATCTCATACAATTCAAAAGAGTCATTTAATGTGTCATGAGCCAGTTCAGACAATGGAGTTTAATCAAGTAACATTTTCCTAACACAAATCAGCACATGAACAGCAAATCACTACCAGTGGCACCCATCATTCAAATATTTCTTCAGACAATTGAATTCTTTGTGCTATGACTGTTCTCAGAAGAACAGGAAGCCATATCCAAAAAGGAAGGGCAGGAAATCTGGCCAATAATATATCAGGAGAAGAGACATTAACCTGTATGTACCTATCAGAATCTGCCTAATGATATTGTCTGTGTGGAAGTAAATTGAACTGGATAGCTAATTAGCCTAGAGGAACTTGATAGATTGCAGATATGAAAAAGGCTGTAGAATGGCTCAGCCAGCAATGTTTTGATCACAGCAAGACAAAGAATGAGTTTAGCTGTCCAAATAAGTCTTGGAATTCAAGATATTTTGAAATGACTTTTTGACTGCATTAGTTCTGCCTCTACCCAATGAACTGAATTAATCTATACTAATGCGCTACTAATGAAAGAAGAAAAAAATGATAAAGGAAAAAATGATAAAGGAAAAAATTGTTAATGTGGACTGTTAGCCTGAAGACCAACTGGTTTCACTCATTTGAATTTCTTTTAATTTGCCAGCAATGAAAAAATCATAAGCAAATAGATTGAGGAGCACAGATAAAAATGTAATATTTTTCAAGTCATCAACAGAGATGACTTGCAAGATTCAATATTTTCATTGATGATTATTGATTGGAAGAATGAGCCAATCATTGTAAAGAGAATGAGAGGAGTTTCAAGGATTAAGAACAAGTTGCAATTCTTGTGTTGCTAATTCATCACAAGAAAAAAAAAAAACAATCATCAAGTAGAATGTAGAGAAACTAATTGACCTATTTGCAAAGGGAATTAAGAACAGGAGAAATTTGGCTGGTCAATCAATAGTATGTCGGGGAGGAGAATGATGTGTGTGTGTGGGGGGAAGTGTTTTGTCAAAAATTAGTTCAATCATAATGGCCATTGCAGTGACATAGATGCCATTAGCAAGAAGAATCTCACTTATTATAAAATGCAGATTGTGTGTGTGTGTGTGTGTGTGTGTGTGTCTGTACGTTTATATATTGGATCGGATTTCCTACATTTTTCAACTGATTTCAACAAAACTTCACAGGACTACGTAAAATTACCTTGTGGTGGTTCTGACAGAGCCAAAAATTGGAAAAACAATTGTTTTTGCACAAAATCAATTTGAAAACACGATAAAACACGATTCTGTTGCCTGAATGAAAGGGGGGCAACTCATATAGAGTTATACTTATTATAAAACCCAGTTTGTGTGTGTGTGTTTGTTTATATATGGGATCGGATTTCCTACATTTTTCAACCGATTTCAACAAAACTTCACTTTTTTTTGGCAGGTAGTGTTTCTTATTGTCTTGCACACTTTTTTCTTTATTTTTACATTCAGAATGCTTTAAAAATTCCATTTACAAGACAATTGTTTATAATAAAATTCTATTCAATCGATAGACTCATAACGATTGAAAACAATGTTTTTGTTTGAGTTTGACTAATTCGTAAAAAAACAAAAAAAAACAAAAAAAAAACTAATTAAGACATGCATGTTCATCAACCTTAAACAATAATCTTTGTCAATTTTATTTTTCAGTCTTTATGATGGTCGATACTTGATCTATCTTTTACTGTTACATCCCAGGGCAATGCCGGGCTCTACTGCTAGTCATTGATAGCATAAACAATGGATAAGAAAGAACTAATTTCATAAATTCAACAAAAAGTCAAAAATGAATACTAAGAGGATTTCTTTTACTGGGAACACAAGTCACTGAAATGAGTTCTTTAGATTTGCAAGGGAACATCAATTATAGAAGAAAAGTGAAATAAAAATGTTAAACAGCATACAAAAATAATGTTTGCCAATAATTAGTATTTGATGTCTTCATCTTGACTCAAACACTTTTGTTCAGGTATTTACTTTTTACTTATCTGAATAAATCTACTTATATGAACACAGAAAAAGTTTATGAAAGTAACCAGATTAAATTTCAATTATAATACTTTCCAACTTTGTCAGTTTTTGTAGGATTTGTTACGGAGGTGGAATTGGGTAATCTGGAAGACAGAACCTTATTGTTGTTGTTGTCACAGTTGTAGAGGTTAATTCCTTCTCTGCCTCGGCAAATGTAAATTCAAAAGAATACATCTGAGTATGGGCAAATAAATGTATAATTTATTTATATACATACAAAACTAGTAACTTTTATCTATTGCTGTTACTAAGGCAATAGGGGAAGAGAATGGTGAAATTAGACATTGCTGATGGCTGCTGCTGCTGCTGTTCTCTCTTGGTGCATTGGCGTTGACATGTAGATGGTTTGTGTTGCAATTCTCAGCTTGCTGGTGTTCATGTCCAAGTTGGTCTGTGTTGATTTTGTTTTAATTAGAGAATATATATCCATTTTTCAGGTCCAAATTAAGATTTTTTTTTTTTTTTTTTGAGAGTGATATTGTCCCGAAAAGGGATACATTTGATCAAAGTAGCTAAATGGCTTTGGCTATTTTAACCAAGTAGTACACAGTAGCAGTAATCGACCGGTACTCATTGTAGTTGCAGGTAATAGGTGTAGACCAATAGGATAGCCAATGGCATAGTTCAATGGGTGTTGTCATAGACTTAAACTCTGTCATACCTACATGTCTGTCTGTATTTATGACGGACACCAGCCAATCATATTCCAGTGATGGGGAACTCAGGTGTATGCAAATTGCATTATATCAGAGAGGGAGTGGCTTTGACTAGTCAATAAATTGTTTTATTTTGATTAAAATGGATGTATGCATGGAGCCTATGTGCAGAACATGTATTTATGCAGTCTACTTTGGGTTGTCAAGCGGTCAACATACAGTTCATGTAGAAAAATGTAAGAGTCACAACTATGGCCATTAGCAATGTCTAATTTCATCATTATCTCTCCCTGTTGCCTTAACAAACAGGTAAAAATTATTAGTTTTGTATGTATGTAAATAAATTATACATTTATTTGCCCATACTCAAATGTATTCTTTTTACCTGAATTTACGTTTACTGAGGTGGAAAAGGAATTAATCTCCACAACAGTAACAGCAACAAGTTTGTGTCTTCCAGTTTACCCAATTTCACTGCCACAACAGATTTGGTTTTTTTCTCATGGCCAAAAGAATGGGTTTGATGAAATAATTCCGTGCAGAAGAAGAAGAATGCAAAGTTTCATAAATAATGAGATTGTGAAGATTTGATTTCAAAACATTCACAAAATCTACTGCATAGAACACAAAACAAAAATTAGCAAACATATTTGTCATGATGGGAAAATCTACATCTATAAAATGCAATGTGTATTCATATATTTTTTTTGTTTTCTTTGATTTTAGAAGAGTGCCCAACATAAAGTGAAGATAATCTCTGTCATTACCAGAATGACACAATGGATTTAGACAAGAAATGTTTTAAAAGAACTCTTAAAATACAATTGGCTTCATCACTAAAACTTCTAAAAGATTTATTTCAGTATATGTACATATTGGAAACCAGTTTAATTTTATGTTTTCATTTTCTAACACGAGAACTAGACAGGGGATCAATTGCTATCGTGACTTAACATTACTTTCACATTCAGAAAGTATTGAACATAAGAAAATGCAGAGCAACAAAGATTTTGATATTTTAGAAGTATAATGTAATAGCAAATTTACTTAATCATCATTTTTGACAAAATGGCTAAAATAGTATATGTACAAGAGTTCATAGGCTGATCAAGATATAAATGTAACACCATTTTGTAGACTAAAATACACTCCAGTGTATAAGAATACAACAGCTGGCCGACTAGTGTACATAAGCCAATAAACTTTTTAAATTGAAAATAATCGTCAAATTTTCTAAAATTTATATAAAATGCATGTAAGTGTTAAAAAAATAAGGAACCCCAAAAAATATTTTTTAAAACAAACATTATGAAAAAATTTGAAGACAAAGCTATTGTTTGCTTGTAAGTTGGTCAAAAGTTGAATAACAGAAACAAATTGGAATTAATCCTTGGTGAATATTTCTGGATCATTTTCTGTGATTGAATAAAAAGGAAAATTTATTTGCTTATATTTTGCTAACCAGTTTAGATATCTCTCTAACTCCTTAAAATCCAAAAGACAAAACATTTTTTTAATTTTTATTTTTCTAACCTGAACTGAATGATTGGATACCAAATTCGACAACAATGCAGCCTTAAACAAATATTGCAAGATAACTATGTGTAATAGTGTGATTTTTAAGTAACCTTTTTCTTTTGTATTGGTTAAATTGGATCCTCCATGTAAATAAAACCATATTGACAATTTTATAGAGGTGTATAAAGTTGACTATTCTGTCATTAAAAAGAAAATAAAATTTAAAGGAAAGGGGAAATAACTATGTAGAGTTAAACTGGTTAAATTAAGAAAATACCATAAAATAAAAAAATAGCATAAATTTTTTTTAAAAATAGCATAAATTTTTTAAAAAAATAGCATAAATTTAAAAAAAAATACTATAAATTAAGAAAATACCATAGTGGTTAGAACATCAATGTTCTGACCGTAAGGTCAAAGTTTGAATCTCACTATGGCTGATTTGTCAGGGAGGATGATTTCTTGATAATATCAGTCTTGAGAAATGATCTCAACTTGCATCACTTATGGAAAGTACCTGAAAACTGTACCATGAGTTTAATCAAGTTGTTTGATTGAAATTGGATAGATCAAACTGCTTGGAAGCCATCAGTGGTTGTGTTAATACAAAATCACAAGTCATTGTGACTGAGGGTTTGAGTGTATTGGCCTTGTTCAACTACTGATTATGCCAGATTTGAGTGTACTGACCTTGTCGGGTCAATTACATAAAACTCAGTAATATGCAGAAGAAAATTCAAACTTTTTTCATTTTTAATCCATGAACTACAAATAAAAAAAAGCAATGTTTATTGTACTTTTGGAACCAAATTTTAAAAAATTCTATAGGAAAGCTGAAAAATGTATCAAATTGAGAGATTTTCTGAGAATGAAACCTATCACTTTAAGTAGAAACAATTTTAGCCTTACCTGTTTTCATTTGTATAATCATAACGTGGTGTTGGGTCAGGATCGTGGTCATTAACATCATAACTTGCTTGATCATCCTAGAAAACAAAAATTTATTCATGAGAAACTTTAGGAATGCTCAATTTAACAGTTTTACACTTATATTGAATGCACAAGTATCAGATAAAAAACTAAAATAGGTGCATTCCCCCATGGGGCAATGGTTAACAAGCTAGCTTAGTAGACTATTACTATTGTGTAGGGAGTTAGATCTTCATTGGCTGCCTTGCACTTGTAGCTTTGTGCCAACTAAAAACCAAGCTTAGTAAATATCTATAAACCAAAAGAAAAAAATTAGGTATAAATTCTTTCAAGAGGAAATTATGGTAGAATCAGATATTAATATTTCTTGTAGTTGATTAGATTACTTCAAGTCATTCAAATATCTAATTTCTGTAATGACCTATTTTTTTGTAAAAGTAATCTTTTTTTCTGAAACTGCATATTATGGAAGTTTAATCATTGCATGGATTATGGATCAAGTTTGAATTCTATCAATGATAATTCAATACATGTACATATTCACACTGACTAAAAAAAAAAAAAAAAAATTAAAAAATCAAAAAAATTGTAGAAAAATTTGGAATGACAATCATGCAACAATGAATAAGATATCATTTTGTGTTTAAGTCAGAAAGGAAAAGCTTGTTTTGTATTTGTACAAAGAAAACTTGTGAAGTTAAAGCAAATATAAGGCAATGTAATGTCCTCTCTTTCAAAAGCCATCACATGACAATCATCTTATTTTCAGGGGCAGAAAGAAATGTTGTTTAAAATAAGTTTTCATTGTAAAAGGTCTGTTGTCTTTGCACATTTAAAAATGCTATAAAGATATTTAATTATTTTTTTTATATTCAAATTGTTTTAAAAGGACATGGTTTATGAGTTTGATTAATTATTGAAGCTCCAAAAACTTTATATAAAAATTAAAACTTTTAAAATTATTTCACTACATTTTTGACATTAAATAAACTGCAGAATTTTTCCTGGCAACCTTATAATTCCACCTGTATTTCCAATAAAATTGGCCATAGGTGTCCTTGGTATGAAGAAACAAATATTTTTTTCATTAAGAGAATTCTATAAAGACAAGAATAAATGTTCTTTTTTGATTAAAGGATTCTGTATTGAAGAAACTGGCAACATGCCTTGAAGGCCAAAGCACTTTCATGTTGCATGTTTTTGTGCGCGCAAGATTTATATATATATATATATATATATATATGACAATTGGAAAAATCATACATTTTGCGATGAAAAAGAAGACAAACGCGTCGGCAAAATGTATGATTTTTTCCAATTGTCATTTGATACCAATCTGTCTTGTCCACAGAATTCATCTAGAAATTTAACTATATATATATATATATATATATATATATATATATATATATATGCATGCCTCTCCACTGGACAAGATCAACAAAGATATAAATCAGTTTCACTCCTAGCCAATCATTGCACAAGTACCACTGAGTGAATGGACTGTTGTGGAGAATATTCTAATCAATTTCACTGCTCAACAAATAGAAAAGTCCAGTAAGCCCAGTCAACAGATTTAAAAACTGATGATTTTTTTCTGCCACAAGTTAAGAGTAAACAGACTGAGGTAGCTGCTGAGTGAGTGACTTTTTGATTAATTCATTGTCCTTTTATACCCTGCATATGGTATTCACTTCTGCAGCTTATATCAGGACAGGATTCAAAAACAGTTCCACTCTTTGTAGACCTAGCTCCAAAATTAAGCCTCCCTTAAAAGAGAATAAGACCAAGATTTGTCTGTATTCTATTCCATATAATTGTGGCAAGAATTCCAGAAGACAAGCCAGGCTGGTGGAACAATGGAAAGCTATAATCTGGAGGAAGAGGTTTGGTCTGGTTAGATTTTGTTTAATAGCTTGTCAACCCTAATGGGTCATTTTACACCAACCAGGGGAATACATATATTACATATATACTTTTCTATCCCCCCCCCCCACAATAGTTGGAGGGGCTCAATTTGGTATGTACAATTCATTTTAAAACAGATTGTGTAATCTGTTAACTTGAACCGTTTAAACCAGTTCTATTTATATACCAATACATAAACAATCCTATTATCTGGTCAGGGGCAATATCTTTAAACAAGGTTTTTATATTTGTGACATTGTAGTATTTACTACATTTAAGATCGATAGCTTTTACATTCACTTAGAATGTGCTTAACTGACAATCTATGATTACAATAGATGCACTGAGGTACATCTTCAGCTTTTAGCAAGTGTACAGGACTTAGTTTTGTATGTCAAATATGAACTCTAGTTAGTACAGTGTCCTCTCTTCATTTCTTTTAGTAGTTTTGTTTTCCTGTTGGTGTTTGTAATGGTTGTTTTCTGGGAATGTGTCTCATATTGCGTGTCATTTTCTTTTTATGAAATCGTTGATTTTCTTTTTAAAATCAGTATATAGAATTTTTATATTAGCTGGTGGAAAAGGAGAGTGGGGAAATAAAATCTATCATAGGTGATAATGTGTGGTGGTAAAAGAGGTCACCAGCCCTCGAGGAATGAAATCAGAATATATGAACAGTGGAAAATGAGGCATTTGAAACAATCAATAACCTCTAATAACATCCTCAACAGGCCTAGAACAGGAATGAATACCATATTGGGGCATTTAATTAAGGGAAGAAAAAAAAAAAAAAAAGAAGAAGCATAACTTAGTGGATAGCATAAGCCTAGGATAAGAAATGAACTGTATATAGCAGACTTTAATTAAGAAAGAAAGGCCATCAGATGAAAGACTCCAAAATTCCACCAGCTGATTATACTCCAAGTGCTGGTCAAGTTACCTAGTAGTTATGAGTTCAGTCCTTGGCTTGAGTAGTAGAAAGGAAGAAAAAAGTTGAAGGGATAAATAATATCATAAGAGCAAAGTAGCCAAATTAAGTGATAAGAAATCCTCTAGTATGGACAATGGAATGAGAACATTTGATCATCATAGATAATGATTTGGGTTAAAATTTGAGAGAGAGTCTCCAACTATGATAGACATGTGAAGAAGGCTGCGGTGAAAAGTGGCACAAATATGAAGAAAGATGAGGACATTAATCCGTGTATAACTGTTTTTTTGCTTTTGAATTTAATGAAAGGTTCCAAAAGATAGAGTTGAACATTAGCAAAGTTAGAATTGTTTTCAAAGGAGGGTTTCGACCTTGAGTTTGCAAGCAAATCACAAAAATACAAGATCATAAATGAAAAAAAGTCCTCTTAAAAGTCCCAGTCAAATAAAAAAAAAAAAACAAACCTGAAAGTTAAAAGTATGTATAAATAAGTTTTTTTCAATATTTTATTTCTTAGAATCTGTTTTTAGCAATTTTCAAAATACTAGAAAAAAAATTAATAATGTAACCAATAGTAACATCTTGTTTGCTATCATGGGAGTGGCCTAGTTGGAGAGGATCCACGTGGGCCAACAAACTAATAAACTGTAAATTTGTTTGTTTGGTTTACGACATAGCAACCACAATGGGTCATTAAATGCTGACAAGATTTTTATTGCTGATAATATTTTTTCCAAAAATGTATTGCTGTTAATATTTTTCAAAAAATTCTTCAAAAATTTATTGCTGGTAATTTTCTTTTTTTACAAAAACGTATTGCTGGTATTAAAGCCTATTTTTACACTTTCATAGTGTTTTGACCCCAGTTTGGGGATTAACTATTTGCCCATAGCTGGGGCCCTAACAGGTGCTACCACCCCGAGTCAGGGTGGACCTAGGAACACTGGCAATTAAGAGGTGGTTGCATGCACCTCAAAGCCTCCTGACCGGAAGCTTTGCTGTTGGATGTAGTTTATTGTTATACCCAGGATAGACCGTAATTGCATAAAATGGAAATGAAGGAAGAACTTAGTTTTGACTTACATTCATCTATCAACAATAAAAAAATTCACTAAATCTATTTTCTTTTTTCATAAAAGCAAATTTTTAGGCAAGCTGACATGGTTCATGACAAATTCTATGTCTTAATGCATGTTTTGCCACAGATTTGAAAGTACAAAAATCAATAATATTGATTTGTCAAAATTAATATAATGATTTCAATTCTTTACATAAATGTAAACACAAATACTTTCAGATGAACCTCAGATGCTACAGTTTCAAACCTGTTAGCAATCATATGACTCGAGAAAATACTGACAAGAGTGATGCTATAAAGTTTTCAACATGCTTTGCCTATGCAATCTTTTTCAAATCCTAATTCCAATTCAAAACATTGTATCAAACAGGTAAACACAGAGTCCATAGCAAGCTGCACTGATTTCCAATGTGACTTACAGGACACAACTTTGACTAACACAGAGTATGATCTACACTAAATTTTAAAAAAATTGTTCAAGCTAAGACGAACATATTTATGGAACATTTTTTAATAAAACTATTAAAAGCTAAACAAAATATTGGAGTTTGCTTTTCTCAAGTTCAAAATAAGAAATTCACAGGATTGATATTTGATGGATATTCTGCAGGCTTTTGATGCTATTAATTTGTTCTCGGACAGGATTAGTTAAAAACTTAGTATTTAAGAAAAAAAGAGACTATCATTAAAACGAATGCTGAATATAAAAAATATGAATAATTTTATAGAAAGTTTAGACTTGCTTTTATCTAAAAACAAAAAAACAACTTGTGTCGCAGAAGGAACCTAATGTGTTGCTACTGCTGAAATGTGCCTTCTTGGCAGATGAACACTTACAGGGATGACATTGATGTTTGGCATTGAAAGAATGTGGATTTTGCACACAGATGAGAGAAATATATATACAACAAAAGAATTACAGACCTATTACATCTACAGTAATTGAATCAGCTCATAAATCATACATTTTACCACAAAAGCCACATCACAGTTCAATGGATTTTTAGCAATAAGCAAACAGCTACAAGATAGTTCTTTTGTTGGCTTAGAAACATTCATTGAATACAATAGTAAATAATAACTGGCAAATTATATTAAGGAAAAAAATGACAGAAAAAAGTAATAATTGTAAGCTTTTGAAAAGGCAGTTCCAACAAAAATAAGGAATTATAAAGTCTTATGTCTGCTTATGAAGTTGTCAGAAAAAATTCAAGTATTATTACTGTATAAACAGGATTTTAACAATTTTTTTCTTTTATTACAGTGAGTTTCACTCTTTATAAGGCCATGGGAGCCACTTGAGGTAGAGGATTACATTTGGAGGCCATTTGTGTGTATAAGAGTGGATGATAATGGTTAACCCAAGCCTTGAACAGGTTAAGATTGTAATGATCAAGGAAACATCCTGTTGGGAGTTGGTTCCAGAGGGCAGTGGTTCACGAGAAGAAGCAGTTTGAGTGGAACTTAATTCTCATTGATGGGATATGGAGGGAATGTATATGGGTACAACGTAAGTTGCATGGTGTGTTCTTGCTGTGAAGGTATGCCTCAGTGGGACCAGGGAATGCAGTTTGTCTGAGTGCTTTCTGTGGAAAAAACAGCAAAAAGTTTGCCACATACTGCCTGTGGGAGAGAGGTTGAAGGGTTGAGAATAGTTTGTCACCAACAAGGGCTTGGAGAGACTTTTGAACTATCAAGGAAGGAGAGTGAGGTCTGGGCAGCTCCAGTCCAAATATGACAACAGTACTCCATTTTTGGCCTGATCTGGCTCTTGTAGAGAAGTTTGAGGATAGCAGGAGTTGTCCGATACTTACTAGAATGGTATAGGGAGCTGACCATTTTACCTGCATCCTTAGCAACAGATTGTATATACAAGTTCCACTTGAGGTTGGGTGTGAGTCTGAGCCCCAACAGTCTTTTAAGGCACTGTGCATTTCCCCAAGAGATCCTGCATTTATCCAGATTGGTCGTAGTTCGGGGTCAGATTGCTGATGATGAAATGTAACTAGCTTGGTCTTCGAGGCATTGAATGTAACCAGTCAGTTTTTACCCCACTGGGTAGTTTGTGCAAGATCGGAAGAAAATTCAGTTGCCAATCTCCAACTATCAAGAGTTTTAGAGGTGCGACCGTGTATAGTCGTATCATCGGCACAGATGCTTACAAATGATCTGAGTATATTCTTAGGCAGATCATTTATGTAGATCAAAAAGAGGGTTGGTCTGAGGAGTGACTCCCAGGGGATGCTCACATTGACTTCTAGGGCTCCAGAGAACTGGCCATTGATAACTACCTTCAGAGACCTACTGGTTAGGAAGGATTTTATGATCGAGAAGACCCTTCCACTGATTACATAACTAAAGAGCTTCTATAGTAAGACTTTGTGCCACACCTTGTCGTTTGAGATATCTAGTGCTATGGTCCTCGAGATGTGATTGCTGTCAAGAGCCTCACTGATTCTGTGAGTAATGGTAGCTAGGATGTTGGCAGTGGATCAGGCTGACCGAAACCCATATTGCTTGTCACTAAAGAATTTGTTCTTTTCTAGGTGCTTGACAACCGTCTTATTGATTATGGCCTCAAAGAGCTTGCTGATGATACCGATGAAAAGTTCTCGGAAAAACTAATGCTTGAACAAAAAAAGCATTTGTGTAATTAATTGGAAAAATTGAGTTTCTGTTAGTATATAATCCAAGTGGATCCGAGTAATGTAAAATATTAAAACTGATCCACAAAATGTGTATTTATTATAACAGAGTATATCATGAACTCAATCTATACACTGGGGTGGAATAAGACTGATGGAGTTTTCGTCAGTTGAAATAGATCTATCTCCCACTATATAGTTTAATTAAAAAACAGACAACCTTAAGTGCCCAATGATTATATTTTATTTCACCAGGAAAGGGAATTTTCTTGGTTCTTCCTCCAACAAAAGACATTCATTTCTGTAGTTCCTTGCTAACAGCAAGCAGAAATATTTCGCCTCCCGATGATGGCCATTTTATATATTGAAACTAATCGAGAATTTAAATGGAATAATAATAATAAAAAAAACGAAAGAATATTAATCTACAACCCAGTGTGTCTAATGATTTTAATTTTTTAATTTTTAATTTTCTTATTGTTCAATATATATATATATATATATATATATATATATATATATATATATATATATATATATATATATAATGTGTTTATACATACATACAGGCTTACAGCCATATCACATTGAAACATTGGTTCTTGCACAATCACTGAAGTTAAGCAATGTCAAGCCTGGTCAGAACCCAGATGGGTGACCACTTGGGAATACCAGGTACTGTAAGCTTAGATCTGTCGGTGGTGTAATGGATAACAGCATGGAATTGGAAATTAGACAGCCACATTCCAATTCCAGTTGGGGGTCATTATATTCACTCACGTCCAAATATCCTTGCGGAAGGTATGAATCCACCTCTTCTCCCCTCAGTTATGGGTTAATTAGTAGGTCTTGTATCAGTAAATCATTATCTCCCCAAAAATTTTACAATGTAAAAATATTTCCTGACTTTAAATAACTTGGAAAAGGTTGATAAGCCGTAAAAAATAAACCACATATTTTTGTATCAATATAGAAATAATGAGTGCCACATAATAAAAATGATTCTTTTTGTAGCTGAATATTTCATCTTAAAAAGAGTGTGCTGACTATTATTGATAGACCCTAATCCTCTATGGGATCTTATTGTTCTTAGATGTTTTTATCAAAGTTGTGCATAGCATACAAGATGTGCTCAAACAAATATTAGTTTGTTTTTGGAGTTTGAAAAAAAAAAAAAAAAGAATAATCAGTGTGTGTGTGTGTGTGTGTGTGTGTGTGAACAATTCACACTTGGTTGTAAAATCTTGATTACCCACTTCTACTTAAATAGATGGTTTTGTCAGGTCATCCAGAAATTCACATGGCTTCAGTTAGTCCAAGAATGTTGGTGTCATCATACAGAAGAATTTTGAAAATCAAAAAATATTAACACTTATCACCCTGGTGTCAGTTCAAAATGATGCTACCAACATTTTTTATATATATATATATATATATATATATATATATATATATATATATATATATATATATATATATTCTTAAATATAACAGACAATGAATGTCTATTATGTCTGATCATGAGTCGTTTCAATGTTTGCTTTAATTTCTGGTGAAAATAAAGACAAACTCTCCAACATTTGGATACTTTTTATTATATTGGTCCTTGATCTAAGCTTTCAGCTCACATGAGCCATCTTCAGAGTGGTTATATGGACATTTTAACAAAGTTATTCACCATTGAAGATAATGCTGACATAGAAGATTGCTATGTAATGATAATTTATATATAAATAAATTGCGACCATTTTGTATAAAACTTTTTTTTTGCTTATTTCAGATGAAAATTTGGAAGTTTTCCAATATATTTCAGTGAAATTTTCATATTCCATAATTACAATTTATAATTATAGATTAGATATATAGAAAAAAAAGAAAAAGGCTGTATAAACTGACACTGGAGAAAATATGGGTTAATGGTATATTAATTGGGTGTTAGATATATAATGTAAAGAAAAAAGATTTTTTTTTTTTTTTTTTTTTATGATGAGATACATTTGACTGCATCTGCAATGTAATTCCATCCACACAAATTTCTAAAGCAGAGCTTTATATTTCTTGTTATAATTTAGTGGCTGTAGCTTCATTTCGTGCAGTATTCTTGAATATATGAATGTCAGTTTTGTTTACAAAATAAATTTGAAACTGAATACTTACATAGTTTTTCCTAAGGTCTGGATGATCTTTCTCAATTCCATCATCTAAAATGGTAACAACAACACCTTTGCCCGTATATCCTCTTTCCCATGCTCGCCTTACATTCATATCAAGACCATGTCCTCGATTCTGGAAGGAAAAGAAAATTACAAATATTAAATAAATAAAAAAAAAAAATTGATGGGTGATATCTCTTCCCACTTATTTTTTCAAAATGTAATCAAAATATCTAGCAAGAAAAAAGTCTGACTTTATTTTATAAAAAGCTTAATTCAGATGAAACACAGATGTAGAATTGAAAGGACCAATAGAGAACTGCGTATTTGATATGTTCTTTGCTAAGACTGATACTTATTAAGCACTTGACAAATGCTCAATCCTTATAGCATACAAAATACAAGATATTTATTTAACTACATTAAAACAATATCACCAAATGACATTGGTTCTTTGATAACCATTCTGTATGCATAATTTGACAACTTTCCCCTCAACAATATTGATATTGGATATAATCAATCATAATGAGGGTAAAAGAAAGGAGAAAAGAAAAAAAGACACCTTTCTTTTGCAGCTTCACAAACCATGAATCTTTAGTTATAACAATGAGTTATGAAAATGTCACATTCTTACAAGTTACACATGGCCAATTCCTTTTACTTTTTAGGTCAAGGTAGGTAGGTTGCTACTCAATTCTTCCCTGCACATTCCTAAATCAAACAACTAATGTAACATATGTAGTGTGCAATATGACAAGAGGTACAATTCCGTTAGAACAACATACATTATATAATTACACTGGGGCAGACATGGAGGATCAGGAAGAGGGGGGGGGGGGAGAGGAGGGGAGAGGAGGGGAAGGGGAGAGGGGGAAGGGGAAGGGGGAGGGGGGGGGGGGGAAGGGGGAGGAGGAGGGGAAGGGGAGAGGAGGGGGAAGGGGAGAGGAGGGGGGGAGGGGAGGGGGAAGAGAGGAGAGGAGGAAGGGGAAGAGAGGAGAGGGGAAGGGAAAGAGGAGAGGGAAGGGGAAAAGGGAGAGGGAAGAGGGAGAGGGAAGGGAGAGGGAATCCCTAGAAAAACAGAATGAACCAAGTGTTATGTTTAAGTCGTTTCCTCCAACAGACTTATAAATCATGTGATTTTATTAATAAAGATGGCAAATGCAGATGGGGGAAGTCAAATATTGTAACTAATGAAGAAAGAAATCTGTGAAGGGAAGTTTTAACAGCTACAAAAACTCTAAGACGATAAAAATAAGAGAAGTGTCTGCAACTAAAGATCACAACATTTCTTATCAATGTTTTCTTTGATCGACCTGCAGGTGGTATGGGCACTTGACCAGAATTAAATAGGCCAAAAACAAACTATAGTCCAGAACTAAAAAGAAAGTAAGAATTATAGCCAGTATCTCAATAAATGTAGAAATCATTGCTTTTATTCTGAGCTGTCCATTGACACTCAAAATGAAGTATTGTTGAATCAGATTAAAATGGAACAGTTATTTTAAAGGGTTTGGTGTCTGGTAGTGATGATAACATACAGATAGAAAGCAAAAGGAGTGAATGAAGGTAAACTGACTCTTTAATGGCAAAGAAAAAAAAGCCGGATTTAAAATCCATCTTGGCAGACAGTTGGGAAGGATAGAAACAAGGATAGGCAAATGCTGAAGAAAATTGTTAGAAAATGAAGATAACAAGCCAAAATAAAATCTAATACTGTTTCATCAGGAGAGAAAATAAGAAAATCCCCAAAAGTTCTTTGCTTGATGATAACACAATTATTGACTCGGTAAATGTTATTTGATGCTGAACCCACAAAAGGCCATATATATCTAGAGCTGTTAAGTTGTATATTTGGAGTTTGGGAGAAGTGAATATAAAATGGCATGTCTACCGAAGTGGAGAGCATATGAGGGCAGAAAAGGAAGTAAGCAATACTGGCAGATTAGAACATTCAAGAAAGGAAATTCTGGGCATGCATGGATGAACACACAAAATGAATAACTTCCTCTTTCAAATGCATTAATAAAAATAACAAAAGCGTACTGACAGGTACTTTCTGCTTGTAGCCTTTGTTAAAACACTTCATAAGTCACTGGTATTGTAGGATACAATATCATTAATTTTGTTTGGGTTGAACTATTTTAGCTTACAATAAAACATGTAATAATGTGTGAGATACTCAGCTGACCAGTGAAGTAATCAGATTTCCTTTTGAAAAGGTAAAGAAAGCAAATCTTTGGTCTTAGTTAAAGTCTGTATCTTTTGATACAAACAGAATCATAGAAAGAAACTGAAGCTTATGTAGGTGATGCTCATTGACAATAGCTTAGAGAAGGAAATGTGATTTTTAAGCTTTTAAAGTCAGAGCACTGAATAATCTCATCTTTTGCAATTTACATCTTTTTGGAGTTTTACTTAAAGCAATTTTTAATCTATCCCCACAAAGAAACTTAAAATTACCATATTTGCCCAGTGTCAAGGACACACTGGCTTCAAAGATGCACTCCAGTTTTGACTTGTAAAATTTCATAAATAAACATGGCCAAAATTAAGTGAAATGAAAAAATACCCTTCAACCTGTAGAATATTGGTTAAATATTTTAAAATTATTTTGAGAGAAAAAAATTAGCATCTCCAGCACCAGAAAATACAGTAAGATTTTTTAAAAAGCTTTTTTCTTTTTATATGCCATGTCCTTTCAGGATGTAGGCAATCATGGCTCTCCACCTCCCTCTATCCCTTGCAGCTCTCAACAAGTTCCTTCCCTCTGCTTCATCCCCAAGACCACATTCTGTCATCCATTTGCTTAAGCCTGCTAGGTATTTCATGCATTGTTTTCCCTTGCCTCTCTTTCCCTCTATTCGACTCGTGAGTATCAGATTTTCCAGGCCCTCCTTCCTCATTATGTGCCCCCAAAACTTCAGCTGCCTCTTCCTGATGTTAAGTATAAGCCTCCTCCTCGTTTGCATCCTCTCTAAGACCTCATTGTTGCTCACACATTCAGTCCATGATATCCTTAACATCCTTTTGTAGAACCACATCTCCATCACCTTCAGTCTCTTCTTCATCTTTGAGGAATTTGTCCAACATTCGCAGCCGTTTACCGTGTCGATTCAATAAGTGTGAAAATGATTCCGTGTCTTACATCAATGCTAACTGTTGAAAAGTATAACCTAAGATGAAGACACAGTGATTGAATCTTCCAAACTATTGTTTATGAATTAAAGATTTTGAGAATTATATTCTTCAGTTTTTCTCACTAAAGAGCAATGATGTTAAGAAACTGCTGTTTTTTTTTTTGGGGGGGGGGGTTTGGCTCCAGTACAAATTGCAAATACAAGAAAGTAATATTAAAAACAATTTTTTCCTCAGTTGACTGCATCAACAAAATCCACAATCTCTTGACAGAAAGAAAAAAAAATCTATGTGTACTTTGTAAGTTTAATGCAGTAATTCAGAATACTTTAACATTGCAAGTGTACAGCTTTTAACAAAATAGAAAAATTTAACCTTGTCAATTTTCAATGATTGAAGCTGTCTTCACCTTTTATTATTAAATGAGATACATTTGTTATGAAATGAAAACTGATTTCAAAGCTGTCTGTATGAGAGATAAAAAGCAAAAAAGTAAAAATAACTTATATGTAAAAATAATTCATAAATAAAAGTAAAAGACATGGAAAAATTAGAATGAAAGAGAAATGGAAAAGAAAATGGAAAAGAAAATGGAAAAAGAGAAATGGAAAAAGAGAAATGGAAAAAGAGAAATGGAAAAAGAGAAATGGAAAAAGAGAAATGGAAAAAGAGAAATGGAAAAAGAGAAATGGAAAAAGAGAAATGGAAAAAGAGAAATGGAAAAAGATTACAGAAGAAAAGTTTCTGCTTAGTTAATATGTTTAAACAGTTACCCCAAAATTTTTTCACCCACAACTGAGGGGAAAAGAAAAACAAAACATTAGGGTTGTGATTAAATACTGTTTACTATTATTAGCCGATAATCAAGTTATATGATTTAATACTGTGTGTTATTATTAGTCGATAATCAAGTTATATGATTTAATACTGTGTGCTATTATTAGTCGATAATCAAGTTATATGATTTAATACTGTGTGCTATTATTAGTCAATAATCTCAATGAAACAAATACTTTAATAGTTATATTACCAACTAATAAAACATGAATAATCATATTTTCAAACATGTATTATATCATTCAACAAAGTGGTTTGCAAAGAAGAATCACTAAGTATGGATTTTGGTTGCTTTTAATTACCTTCAAATTTGCTTGATGGTTTGAATGATATGTGCCACAAGACTACTGAATTATGGATGGAAAGCACTGGATTTGTTGCATTGAAAATCCCAAAGTTTGAGACCATGATCATTCATTACAATGTGTGGAATGCAGGATTTTGCAAACATACTCATTAGAGAGATCGATCTACATTCTCTTCCAGGCAAAGAGCCTTTGCTGGTATCAACAACTATCATAAAAGTTTTCTCTGGGATTATTATTATCAGAAATAAATGTGGAAAATGTTTCTTCCTTTTGCTCCTATGTACATTATTAAAGCAGACTTTTGCAGGCTTCAAATCCAATTCTGTTGCCTGTAAAAATTACTTCTAGTTACTCTTTCCAATGACTGCAGTCTTCAAACCCATTTTCATCATTGAAATTTGGGTGCAGGTAATTTTTCTAGGATTAGTTAATTTAGAGAATGAATGACAAAGATATGAGAAACAAATTTCAAAATTTAACAAATCTGATGAGAAGAACTTGAGGTTATAAATTAAACAAAATCAAAATAATCCCATTTACGACATATTATAAAAAGAAATGTATTCCATAAGTTGTGTGAGTATGGTTTTGTGTATGGAGAGTGAGATGTATGCATGTCCTACATAAAGACATTTTTATTCTCTTATTCTCATGATATGTAGGATCAAAGTACTACTATTGCAATAACATAGATTCTAAAATAAGTGCTTTCAGCCATTTTAAAATTTGATCACTAAATATAGATTAAATTTTTATATACCAATTTACTGCAATCTTCATCTTAGTTGTTACAAGCACATTTCTACTCTTGTATCCTTGAAAATGAGGACAACAGTTTGTGTAATAATTA